GTCTGCTACGCGTGCGACAGCGGCTGCGCGACCGACGGGAAGACATCACACTCTTTTAACGTTGTTGGTGACGCCATGCAGTCAAGGCCAACTGCACTATGCAGTGAAACTGCCAACACTCTCCAAATAGTAGAGATGTAACTGGCAATTCATCTACGCCACAGTGTTACAGATAACTATCCCAATGGAGGTCCAAGTTCTGCCAGGAGAGCCGAGGAGATACGTCGTCTTCAGATTCCACGAACGACGTTTGCGGACAGACCAGATGAGGTCGCCAAACTGGAGGGAGCACGGGAGGGAGCACGCTCCGTGTGCAAGATAGGAGACCTTCTCACATCTTCATTGACTATGTCATCTCATCTGCGTCCAACACGAGGATGCACCTGTCCTATCGCAGGTGTTCGTGAAGAAGTACATTCGCCACATTTGAAACTTCGATTATCACCAGCTGTCGCCGCAGGCAAATCTTCAGCGTGACTGACCAGCCGCCGGTGGGCCACCCGTCCTGCACGAGACGAGACAAGCACAAAACATGGGCTCAGAGTCAAGCAGCTCGAGTTTTCCTTGTATTGCGCGGTCTTGCACACTCGGGCCAGACTGACCTCACCTGGCGGTGGATTAAGTTTAGCATCGCAACAAGAGCGACTGGTAGGCCCTGTTTGGACGTCGCTCTAAAACGCAATATCACACGTCCAATCGCAGTCACACCGGAACTCCCACTCCAGAGAGCGTGGCTTACTAGTAAGCCGTCGCCACCAACCTTCTGTTCGTCTGGTCGCGCGCCAAGAAAAACCAGGCCCGCGTTCCGTTATAGAGTTCGTGTGAGCCTCATGAACCTGCTAACGAAACGCTAAGAACCGTTGAGATGTTTCTAAGCTAGCATCCTGGCTGTCAAAGAAAGGCTCTGATAAATATAGGCTTGACAATCGTTTGGTCACACATCAAAAGTTTCACGATCGCTAGCAGCGAACAATATGGGAAACCAGTGCGACGGACCCTGAATCGAGGCCTGCGGGGAAGCTTGGGGAGGCTCTCCCCAGCTCTGACGTCGTGCGCACGTCCCCGGCGTGATGGTTGTCGAATGCTGCTAAAACCTCTCAGGGGAATCCAGGCCCGTCGAGATCGTCAGAATTTCAAGGGTCACCTGCAATCACATTCGTGATGCAGCCGTGGGCCGTTGCGTATGTTCGGATCCCCCAAGGTTGGCCTTTGATTCCAGGCCTTGCCCATTGCGAGTGCGGCTGCAACATTCACTGCGCACTGGCCCTCGGCACGTTTTGAGGCTCTGGGGCACTGTCGCCCCCGTCACCTGGTCACGAGAGTAGCAAACTTGATGGGCTTTGAGCGCGCTTCTGGCTATCACGAAATCGTTTCTTCTCAAGCGACAGCCGGACCGGGATTCAACTCTATTGGGAGATGAGGACATGGGCAGAGGCGTTATGCGTCGTGAGCACGCAGCGAGATCTGGAGGTTGCCAAATATCACTAAAAGTACTAGCACTGATTCTAAGCAGGACGAGGGAGGGCCGCTCAACCAGCCACATCCCTGCAACCTTGGTGCGACCAAAGTGGCTTCGGACTGCTGGGCTGAACTTCCGCTCGAGTCTCGTCTTCTCTGCAGGTATTGCATTCCGCCCGGTGAGATCTCCTGGCAGGGCATCTGTGAAGCAACAACCTACGCACCAGACGCGAATCCAACACGGATCACACCAGGAAAGAATGGTCTGCGGCATGCAGACGTGATGACGACGGCATCCTTGCTACGAGCTGGAACCCCTGATTCCTTTCAAGAAGTTGCCAGTCGCTATTCTCATCTCTGTCGCCTTGCTCTTTGTAGCGCCCCCCTCCCTAAAGACTGCAGTAAATAGGGGTTGGAAGGCATCCTCGGCGGCTCACAATGTGCTGGTGCTGCCATCTGACGACATCAGGGTTGCAGGGGACGTGGTCCTGGGCGATTCGGCCCCCAAGTACCTCGCAATGGATGCAGCGCACATGGTTAGATACCAATACCGTCTCAAAAGGATTCTGATGATCGACGATGCCTGCATCATATGCATAACCACTACCTACGCACCCAGGCCCACCGGCAGATACAAGTCCATGTCAGCCACTTGGTCGGCAGGTGCTCCGACAATACTGTGGGCGACGTGTCTCTTTATTAGCACGCTTCGACAAATGTTCGACCAGGGTTGGCTCCAGATGCTGCTTGACTTTGTTCGTCCTGTAGTGTACTCGCGGTGCTATCATGGCCGAAGCGGGGCACCGAGAGAAGTCAAATGACGGTTTGCCCCATACTCGAAGCGGCACTTCCACGGTTAGTCTTGATACAGGTCTGCGATCGAGTGCCGCCCGCGGCATCCGCCCCGGTGGGCAAGGCGCCGACTACTTCGACCTACCATGTTCGATGGTACCCTGCCGCAACAACATCTTCCCGGTGCTTGCATATTCTTCACCACCGTGCAGGTGTCCCTAGTACATGACACTGCGTAGGACGCCGCTGTGCTTGGGGCAACAGCTTGCACAATATCAGTGTAAAGCAGCCACAACGTTCCATTTTCGTCACCTGCAGATGTCGTCTTGACCTGTTCGCCAATCCTGCGGTGTTACGGCCCCAAAAGCAGTTTGTCCACATGGAGAGCACTTGAAAGCAGAACCTGGCGTCAGCATCTGCAGGAAGTGTGCCAGGGTGGGCCCCTCGAAAAGGCCGTTTTCGCGCAGCCCAGAGGCCAGGAAAGTGGCCCCGTGGGTCCAGGCCTGCCTGTCTTCGGTCGTTCACCTTTCTAACTTGCGACATGTCGTCTACAGGCGCTGTCAAGAAGACATGCGCCTGCAGAGTATTCCGGCGTGTTGCCGCAACGGTAAGGTTGAGTCTTTTTCCTGGCCTTGATAGCCTTTTGCACCCTTTCAAACCAATGTTTCGCGCCTATTACTTCTGGAGATCATCGCAGCCAAGGCGGCAAGCTCCAGGTTTAACAACATTCGACAAAGTGGAGAATAGCCGCTCTGTACGAGATGCGGACCCGTCACAACCCACCGCGCATGCGACTTCGGCCGGCAAATGTTATAGCAGGAGGGTTACCGCGAATGGTCAAATACCCGCGCTGTGATACTTGTTGGCCTAGGATTCCAGGCGGTCACGCTGGCCAGACAATCTCCATCTCATGTGAGGAGCAGGATGTCATTCGCTACGGTGGCGTTTCCCTCAATTGCTCGTGGATTTTGTCACCGGGGCTAGAATCGCACAAAACCGTCGGAAGGACCTCGCAAATGTCGCACACGGGGTGTCTAGTGGTTAGATCCGCGGATGCAGGCCTGACAGCGGGCTCTGGGTTGCCGCTTTAGGGAGGTCAGTCACCCCCATGATGCCTGGCTCGCCTCCCACAATTGGCTCGTTTGCTCACACCTCTTCGGCCACTGCCTTTCTAAGCCGATATGGTGCTGATACAGCTGGGATACCATCACGTCTGCTGTCATTCAATCTACCGCCTACCCTGCCATCAATTTTGCCCGTCTTTATCGACAGCTTCCCTCATCCCTACTCGGGGCTCTCTCCCTGTTGACTGGCATACATTCACACCGCGCCAAGCGGCAACGTGGCATTTGAGCGGGCGATATATGTCAATTCCGATGGGCTCCTTGATCTGGTCTCGGTTTGTTTAACATCTGGGTTGGCTTGTCGACGAGCTCAAGTGCATAAGTATGCAATATAACTGTTTGAGAAGTCTTTCATACAGGTGTTGTTTTAGACGCTGGCAATGCAATTTCACAACCCCCAAAATCGAGGTCACCCTTATAGCAACTCTCTTAAGAGCCGAGTGCAGAGAATAAGGAACAAGGTTTGACTATTGCTTTACCCATTACCTGATTTTCGCGAGGCAGAACATCCTTGAGATCAATGAGAACGGCATCAAGGTGTTTTGGCTACAATGCATCACTGGGGCACCCCTGACCGGCACCCCTGGTCTTCCTCCTCTAAACAAAAAAAGCCTCCCACACTCTTCATCAGGACCCCCCCGGTCTTCAGCAATCTCGTGAACCGATTTTTTGCTTTGCCCTGGCCCCCATGCCCGCACACCATTCCCTTTCGATCTTTTATCGGCCGTCTCGTCCAACGGTCCCTCGACATTTTACGGGTCTGCAGCCTCGCAGAGCTTGTCGGAGAATTTTGCTCTAATCAGATACCCTTGCTGATGCCTCCCACCCAGCAGTACATGGGCCGGGCGTGCTGTGAACTTGATGAGGTAAAAAGCAGCTTGAGCCATCTTGAACCGGGGGCCACAGCTAGTAGGGGCCTGGGAGGGAACCCGGGAGTCACCTTTCTCGTCTACCAAGATTGCGTCCTTTGCGCTGCCGTCATTTTTCTTCAGCAAGGCGGGACTTGATCGATCGATTCCATGGCGTCGGAAAATTCTACAATGGTCGTGCGAATCTGTTCAGACGGCCTGCTCGATAAACTTGGTGTGGTCCAAGCCATGGGATGCTGTGTCTTGCATCTCTTGCGACCCACAATAGTCCTTGTGCAAGATGGTCTACACTAGCCAGGAGTTCCTTGATCCTTCGGCAGAGCATCTGGAGGTGGGCGGCAACCGTTGGCTCGTCCGATGAGACTTTACAAACTCTATCCTCGGATGCCCTTGTACCCTAGTGGGAGCCCCTGGACCGCTACATGACGAGTCCCACTATTGTCCCCTTCCTCGGTCAAATATCTTGGGCACCTATCCGTCCAGCTATGCGTGAAGCCAATCTGGCAACATGCCAGCCATCTCACTTTTGGGCGAGGGGCCAGCTGGGAGTCGGGCATTCTGAGATTTGGCCGGTGAGGAACAACTTCGTGCACGGCGAAGCGAGAGTCAGTTGCTGTGATGTACCTATCCCGGCGCGATACTTCGTGGGTGGGCTCAGGTTGTATTCCACATGCCGTATCTCGACTAACATCCCCCCCTGTTGCCTACCTGCCAGATCGCCGCCGCCTCCATCTCCTTCCCTGTCTGGCTGCATGTACATAGAGATACATGCGTACTGTACTGCGGTACAGCTCTCCATTCCGTGCACTAAACGGTCCACCCTCACAGGCTCATCACCTCCCGGATATCCACTGTGAAGCCCCTCAATCCCCTGACCTTGGCCGTTCGTTGCCCTTCGAGTGTTGCCCCATCGACCCTGATCCAACCCCAGGATAGTGTGCCAGTGGCTCTCATAAAACGTCCCCCACCGCATCTACCGTATCATTTCATACAAGTACCACTTGCCCTGCAACCCTACGACCATTGTTCACTCGATTCTAACTTCATCTTCGTTTCGTCTGTTGAGCCCGTTCAACTTCTTCCTGTTTCAGTAACTGGCTGAGCGCAGTCACGAATCTGGAACTCATCAGTCATTCACTCCGACGGCCTGGAAGGGTCACAACGGGCGTTTTGACCGTGTTGCTCGAGTTGGCATCTATTCGAACTTAACTGGGCAACCAGCAGCCACGGCGACGAGCATTTGAACGACGTGCTTTGATCCTTCGCCGTAACCACAGCGTTGATTTCTCGTCAAGAAAGGAAAACATCTAGCAGCTTCTGGCCGAGATATGTTCCCATGTGCACCGCAACATACGCAGTCACCATGGCAGAGTTGAAGGAGCCGGCGCACAACAGTCTCTGGTACGCCAGCCCTGTACAGATGCCGACGAGCCGGTCCAGTCACGCCGTGGACGCAGGACTTTCGAATCCAACTTCCGCCTCGCCCCATTCAGGACGACCGAGACAAGGCGGCTGGGGCAGCGTGGACCATCACCAGCAGTATCCGTCATACAGTCGCTATTCGCAGGACGACACCAACGACCCTTACGACAGGCACCAGCACCCCTCCTTGTCCAGTCATCAGAGTTTTCCCAACCTCAAGCGGCCCTACTCGGCGACAGAGCAGCCCCCATACCAGGAGATCGTCCAGGACCTACGAGACGATGGCTCAAAGCTCGGTGTCGGCCACGACCACAAGCTGCTCTCGTTCAGAAAGGTTCCGGACAAGCACACAATCCTCGACCACCATGGTCGCATGCAACAACTGGAGCTGACCGCTCAACTACACGGCATGTTTTTTCTGTCCGAGATGCCCACGACCAACAACGACGGCTCAGTCATGCAGCCGGAGCTCACTTGCTACCGGCGGAACCTTTTCCAGGTCAGCGGGTCACTCATCACACCGAGGGGACAAATCTCAGTCATTACGGAGACTGGGGAAACAGCGCCAGTGAGCAGCACAGAAGTCACCATCTCGTCGATCGAGTCGGTGGACGGACATCCAGTGCGACTAATCGTCATTCCGTGGAAGACACCCCCACCAAACTCGCCGGAAGTCACGCAGGCACCAGACCAGGAGCCAGCCTCTTTACCGTTGATCCCATTCCAGGATGATGGTTCCGACGCAGAGGGGGAATACGCGGTGTATCCCATCGGTTGGCGACGTCTTCAGTTCCGAATGTAAGTGAATAGACAATGTCGTGGCTCCCCCGGGGACGCGATGCTGATTTGAAACCCGACAGTGCGACAGCCAACAACGGCAGGAGGAAGGAGCTTCAGCAGCATTTTGTGGTCCACCTGAAAGTCATGGGAACATTGGCAAACGGATCAAAGGTTGTGCTCACTGAAGCCGCAACCGCGCCCATCGTGGTGCGAGGACGCAGCCCGCGCAATTTTCAAGCGAGGAAGGAGATCCCGCTCTTGGGATCCAGCGCTGGGTCACGAGGACAAGCGCTCGTGGAGACCGGGCTGGGTATTGTCGCTGGACCCTTAGCGATCAAGCCGCAAGAGGTGAAGGCGAGGCCCCTCAACATGGAGCTGCCGCGTACAGCTTTCACTTTCAATGCTCCTAAGTTACCGGCGAGCCCAATGACTAGTATGCGGTCGAAGTAAGTCCCAGCGATACTCCCCAGAACTGGCTCACTGTACCCCCTAGGTGGCGAACCTCGTGTGTCCTGCTCTTGATGCGAATTTGTGCTGACTGTGTGTAGCTCTTACCCGACGACGTGGAATCCATCGATGCCTACTTCCGGAGCGACAAATTATCCCGCGACGACAATTGCGTCGGACCCCTACCAAAAGATGCCTCTGTCAGGAACATCAGCCTACTCGGCTGAGCCGCAAGATATGCAGTCTCACATGCCCACATCCATGCCTTCAATGCAGTTGTCCATGGTTTCGAGTGACCAACCGGGGCAGCAGCCGCAGCAGTCAACGGCCTCTCACCAAGTTCCGCCCATAAGGACGCAGTACGCCTCCTACGTTCCGAGCTCGAACGCTCCTCCACCTCTTTCGGTCTCCTCGGCTGCAAACAGCAGCCTGAGCGTGCCCCGATACGTGGATGACAGCAACCCGCGGCCAACAAAGAGCCCTCGGCATCCTTCGATCCACGCTGGTTCGATATCCAGCACGGAGTCGTCTGGCGAATACCGATATGGCCCCCCATACAGTGCCATGAGCACCAACTCGGCCGAAATCAGCCCTCAGACGTCTCAGCACGCGTCATACTCAACATCGCACGGCGGCGGCCACGAGAGCAGCGCTGCATCTAATACACAGTCTTCAAGCGCGATCCCTCCTCCTAGGGACTATTTCCCGCCCTCGACGTCCTGGACCACGACCGCTGGCGAGTCAAACGCACCAACATATACGAACGGGGACCACCGATCCTCATATCCATACTCAACAGACCAGTACAAGACCGCGGGAGGTGTCAAGAGCGATCCTCATGCCCCTCCACCTCCGGTCTATCCTGGCCAGGCCATGAGCCATTACTCGTGGAACACTTCTTGATGGCGCATAGGGTACGGGGTTACGGGGAAAGGATCTGGGTAGGATTCTGGATCATTGGAGTCCGAGGGCCGCCTGATGACGAGTATGGAATGCATGCCAAGAAACATTGAGTCGAGCCGGGAGGCATGACGGCAGCCCGCAAGGCCTGCACCCACCACTCCTTTCCATCATACCCGAACCACGAACGCGCTATACCCCTATACGATGCGACTTCTTCCCGTCCCTACCGATCGAAATTTTATGTATAATCACCGTGGGTGGCCTTGTCCAAAAAATGATTACGGATGGCTTAATGCTTTTGGAGAGCTCTAGGCGCGAATCTGGGGAGGCAGGCGTTAGGAAAGCATTTCCAGATTGACGCGTTTTCCAAGTTATCCTGTGGTGCGAACTCATGTTATCTGTTTCGATGATCGCATATCTGCTTTCTTTGTTCTTTTCCATTCCATGACCAATACCGATACCAAATTCTCTGTTTTCGAAAACCGATGGATACTACCTCTTTCTCCCAAGCCGCGGCCCTCCGAAAGAGCCAGAGAGGGGGGCACGACGGACGGAAACAAAAACACACAGGCACATGCGTGCCCGCGCACACACCAACAGATTACCTCGTGGAGTTGCATTGTTCTTGGGCCTGAAGAGCAAAGTGTGGGACGACACGGTCTCCCTCATGCGTGGGTCCAGCTGGCATAATTCCTATGCATGTTCAAATACCCCATTGATAGAGAGAACAAACGGGGTTGGGATGGGCTGAGGAGGGTTCGGCGGCTCTTTTGCTCTTTTTACAATTCATCTCGGTCTCAGTGGCTTTATTGGGAGGGAAATTCTGCTTTCTCGCCGCACTTTTTTATATATACATGTTTGATCATTATCGGGTCGACTACTTGTCTTCTTTACATTTATACTATTCATTCGTGGGGCTGGCTGCGCTTGCATTTCTTCTTCCTTTTTGCTCACCTGGTCTCGGCAGGACTAGAGAGACACGGAGAGAAGGTGGAACGGTGACAGGGTAGCAGGGCTAGGTGGGTAGGCCTTGGTCTCTGGGACAGTGTGTGCGTGTACGACGAAGTCTGGACTGGCGGAGGCTGGATACTGTTTGATAATTCGTATCTCTTGCCATATTCTGCTGAAGGGCAGACACAGAAGGAGGATCTACCACAAAAAAATGAACTGAATAATACCACTTCCAGCAGAGGTCGCCTGGCTTCCACTCCGTCACTGTCGCTTCACTGTCACTTCGCCTTGACTCCTTCAATATCTTGATGTCTCGTGTGCCATCTTCATCCACCGTACTGTGATCTCCCTCTACTGTGACGTTTCTGAAGCACACTACGAGCCGCAGACCCGCCACGCACAGGCCCAGGTGAGGCCATACGCAAGTCACAGAATCTAAGCACGAGTCGGCCGTGGAAGGCACCGTAACATTGAGCCTCTGGACTGAGTAGCGAAGTCTGCGCCGTGTGCGCAGCTGCTACGTGTGACGAGATCCTGAAGGGAGGCAGGAAGGGGTCCAAAGCCAAAAAAGCCCCATGACGCCAAAAATACCATCCCAGAAACGTGGAGCACGGGCGGCGAGCAAGGCAGACAGGCGGGAACAGCACAGAGGTGTACAAGACAGGACAGACAGGCGGACAGACCCAAACACAGTGGCGGTCTTGGGTGTGGTGGGTGTGGTATCTGTGGTATCTGTGCGATGGCACACTTTCCCGTGATCCCGGGGCACATGGCACCGTAGCAGGCGGAGAATTTTCACCCCAGGTGATGGCCGGATGACCTGCATGCATGAAGAAGGGCCCACGTTGCTTCACCTTCCTTTTGTCCATCTTCTCTTCTCTTCGTTTTACCTTTGTGTGTTGTTTCTCGGATTTTTGCTCGAGCGTCCCGGGCAATCCGTCCGTGTTCGTCTGATGGGTGCCACTGGCGAGCCGGCTTACACGCGACATCAAACCACCACGCAGGGGGGAGGGGGGTAGGGAGCAAGAACTCGGGGGTGGTCATGCGGGTAAGTTGGCCGCCGGGCCCGAGAGTTGCACGATCGCGGTCTGTCGTTTGGAGACTTCACTTGTCAGAGATGGGATGAGGGGGGTTGGAAGGGTGGAGTGACATGGCATCTCGCGGGTGTGTCTGTGTACTTTGTCCCCATCGCATCCACGGAGATTCGGTTGCTGTTTGTTGGGGAGAGGAAAGGGGGGGTGGATAGGTGGGTGGGTGGCAGCGGTGGAAGATGAGCAATAAGACTACTTGGTGGTGATGAGGGCAAAAGGCTGGGGGGTGAGTGGAGGCCGTCGTCTTGGAGCGTCTGTTGATGCTACTGCTGTGTGACTGCCACCTGAAGGGGCACATAAGGTTCGTATGACAAGGTGTCAAAGCGACTCGGGCCCGTAATGGTTGCTGAGTACGACGCCAGACGGAGCCGGGAAAGGGGACTGCTGGAGAGCGAGAGAGAGGCAGGGAGAGTAAGAGAGAGAGAGCGAGACGGAGAAAGACGGAGAGGTGGAGAGGAGGAGGAGGTGGAGGAGGACGACGACGAGGGCTTGCTGGCACTGGCTGTCATGGAGCGGCCGCCCGTTTCCAGGAGGGCGGTACTTGGTAAGAGGGAAACACATTGGCATAAATCCGAAGCTGTCTTGGGCGGGGCAGGAGGGGTTGCAGATGGCAATGCTGCGATGCTACGATGTTCCAGTGGAAGGCTGTCCATGCTGCCATGTTCTGTTCTGAACCTTGCATGTACTGTCGCTACTACACTACGGAATACCTAGGTTTCGACAGCTGAGGTGCTTTGATAGTACACCCGCGGTATAGTGACAAAGAGGTACGTCTGGGATGTACCTATGTACCTATCCACCTTACCGGCTGATCCCGGTTGGTCCCAGCTCCCCCAGCTGTCCACCAGCTGCGTCCCAGCTGTGCCAGGCCGGCGGATGTTTTACCCCCACCACGCCCCCACCTCGGGCCAATGAGTATCCCATGCTTGGCAGACCGGCTCCGCGATCCCCTTCTGCATCTCTCAGATGTCCTGGCATCCCCTGCACCAACATGGATCAAGCATTCAGGCTCAGTAGCTCCCGACACTGAGATTGCAACTCCTCACCATACGAGATAAATGCTTGCGCAATACAACGGATCAAACCTCCGACATATCACAGCGCAATTACGTGCTACTTTTGTGCGTAACTCGACATCCTGGGCTTATTATCTACTTAACTCTCGCAATCGCAATCACATTCAGATCGCATTATCTTGTGGGGCCCAAATCAACCAACCCAGGCCATGTTCGAGGTCCCCAACGCCAAGAGGTAGGCAGGCCGGGCCGGCCAGGAGGGCCTGAGATGGAGGCTCACGGCGGGAAATTGCGCAGCAATAGTGTGTGCTAACATACTGTGACCGCAGGGTGAGGCGCGATCAACTCTACGGCTCATCTTCGGATGGTGGTGACCAAGATGAGCAAGGCGTGGAGGATGCAGAGGAGCGCGCAAAGTTGAACGCGCGACTCTCAAGCCTGCTGGGCCTGGACCTTTCTGCGCCGGCACCATCGCTGGCACCCGGGCAGGGTCCGGACGCGGCCGACGCCCACGGGCACGGGCACGGGGGCACGGAGGACCAAGAGGAGCGCCACGATGAGGAGTTTGAGTTCCGGCTGTTCTCTGGCCCGACCGGGACCTCGGCGCCGGCAAAGGTGGTGCTTGATGCATCTGATGACGAGGACGCGCCCAAGGGGGGCGGCGGGTTCGTGCGCCCCGAGCGACCGCAGAGCTATTATCTGGCCGGTGAGGCGACGCCCGACCAGCGGGAGAGGTATTGCTATGCTGCTGTTACGGCCGAGGACATCATTGCTGGCGCGAGCAAACGGGCGTGGGGGCTGGAGAGACCATGGCGCGTCGTCAAGATCTCGCTTTCTTCGAGGAAAGCACGGAGCAACACAGCTGGGTCAGATGCCGGGGCCACAGCAACTAGCGAAGACAACACAGAGGATGGAGCCAAGCGCAAGAGGCCGGGCAAGAAACGCAGGATAGCTGTGAGGATCAAGGCCCGCGCTGAGAAGGAGAAGCGGGAGGCCGAGAAGGCGAGACGGGAGGCAGCGGAGAAGCAGAGAATCTCGAAAGAGGAGCACCTCCTGGAGAAGAAGAAACGGCTTAACCGGGAGAAGAAGCTGAAGCGGAGGGCCAAGGAAAAGGAGAAGAAGCTGGCTGCGGGAGAGACGCTGCCGCCGTCCGAAGCACCGACTTCTCCCCGCTCTGAGTAGACGGCATCGCCCATACACTGTTGAACATGATGCAGAGGCATCCAAATCTTGCCTCTGCGCTGGATTGGCCTCCATCATGGCTACCACGGCCCCCATAGCCGCCATCGTGGGTGACTTCGGCCGCATATCAAAATGCGCCCTGTAGCGTCACAGGCCACAGCCTGGTCCGTGCACCGCCACGTGTGGCTGACAGCCTCCAGCTTTGACTTCTGGGCTCCATGTGACGGCGGCGTTTCGAGTTCAAGCAGCATCCGCCGAATCATCGGGATTCACTCCCTGCTCTTGGTGCGACCATTGAGGCTCTTCGACTGGAACAAGCCCGTCACACACAAACCAGCCTCTCCATCCCATCCCGATCCTGAGCTCGACTCCAACTCCGACTCTTGACAGTATCCTGCCTTTGCCGGCGAGGGCGGTGCCTCCTTGGGGAATCCCGCTCTTTGGTTCCAGGACCCACCGAGACTTTGAGCTTCGCGATGGCGGACGACGCGCCTCTGGCCTCGCTGTCTCTGACACATGTCTACTATGTGAGTAGCCACCCAACCAGGCCGGCCCATTGATCCACCCAACACGCCAGTCGAAAGTGCCGGGCAGCACACCAACGACCAAGCCCGACCAACACCCACCCAAGCCAAACCCCAGCCAGTATTCAAGAGACCAGGACCCCAAGCTGACCACCGCGGTGCGCGAAACACAGGACCCGGATGACAACATATCGTACCTCTGCGCGTGGCTGGCCCTCGTCCCGCAGGCCCTCTGCATCGTCTACGTGACGCTGATCTGGTCGACGCGCGAGGCCGAGGTGGCGCTCATGTTCGCGGGCCAGCTGGCCTGCGAGGCGGCCAACTTTGTCCTCAAGCGGCTGCTCAAGCAGGAGCGGCCCAGCCGCATCCACAAGACGGGCAAGGGCTACGGCATGCCCTCCAGCCACGCCCAGTTCGTCGCCTTCTGGGCCGTCGCCATGGCCCTCTTCCTCCTCGTCAGGCACACGCCCAGCTGGACGGACCATGGGTACGAGCCGAGGTCGGCTGCTGCCGATCGGGGACCTCCGAGCCGCGGGAGGGGAGGAGATACTCGGCAGGATGGGGGCGACGGCGGCAGCAACTCCACGAGGCCGGCGCGCCGGGCTAGCAGCTGGGGCCAGGAGTGGGTCATGGTCGAGACCTACGCGCACCGGCCGTGGTCATACGCGGAGCGCGCCGCCGCCGCCTTGTTCGTGCTGGGCGTCGCCGCCCTCGTCGCCTGGAGCAGGGTCTACCTCGGCTACCACACCGTGAACCAGGTCCTGGTCGGCTGCCTGGCGGGGTCAGCCTGCGCGGTGGCTTGGTACGCCGCCACCGCATTTTTGAGGACTACGGGGCTGTTGGCCTGGGCTCTGGAGTCGCCCTTCGCCCGGGGGCTGCGGGTCAGAGATCTGGTGGTCAGTGAGGACTTGTGCCAGGCGGGATGGGAGAAATGGGAAGATAAGAAGGACAGCGATAGTCGTTCTGCCCCGGCTTTTCTCGCCACTCCTGCATCGAGGAAGAAAAAATAGACGTCGGTGGGACGTTGCGGGCTGTAGCATTGGTGGTCAAGTAGGGAAGGCCGTGTCACAACGACGTTTGCAAATCATAAACATGTCACTCTGGAAATGCAGTTGTTGTGTGCTCAATAGTAGTGATTGGTATCGTAATTTTGGTTTGAATTCGGGCCCTGTCTTGTGTCTTGCGACCAAGGTATGGTCTCTTTCCAACGTGGCCACAGCTACCTAAGATGAGCTTCATGCGGATCAAAGCCTGTCCGCGAGCCTGACTCTGTCTGCCTTCCCAACTGCAGGACGTCGGCAAAATGAATGAATGTCTCGGCGCCATCAACATGCAGTGTTGCCCAAGGATATATCCGTCACTTTGTACAATTGTACAGTATATATGTTGCCATCCACTGCCTCCAAGGCCCATTTCAATCGTAGGTCGTCCCGTCAAATGCCAAGGAGGGAAAAATATGTTTGTACGCCTCACGTTAAGTGAAATAATCCGCAACGCCGATGCTCATGAATCTTGTCGCTCAAATCCAGGAACTTTTAGACATGCGTCTTGTCTAATGTCCCAGGAGGGGGGGGAGGTTTGTTTGTTTTTGGTAGAGTAAAAAAAGTACTGGTGAAAAAAGTGGACCCAGTCCGAGAAAGTACGCTAGACTGCGCGGCGTCTAGATCCATGTCTTGTTCGACGGCACCGGTGTCGTCGCTGTGCCGGCGTTTGGCCGCGGAGGCGCATGTATCTCGCCGTGATTGCGGGCGGCCGGGTTGCTGAAGCCAACGCCCATGGGGCTGGGCATTCTTGTGGTCTTGACTGAGTTGTTCCGCTGAGGGGCCTCCTGGGGAGTGTACACGGAGGGGCTCAGGGTAACGAGACCGTCCTGATTACTTCCCTCGCTTCTCTCGCTATCGGACTGCTCGTCTTGGTCTCCAACATCGAGGACCAGGCTCTCATCCTTTGGCACAGGCGGAAGTGTCTTCATCCTCGCATCTCTGGATGCTCGCCTGGTGAATAGCGGCTCCGGCAAAACCTCTGGTTCCACATACTCGGACTCAGGCCTGGCTTCGGACTGGGTCAAAGGTGAAGGCCGCAGTACCAAGTCCGGCATCTCCGGCCGGTCGCTATCGTTCACGTCACTGGGCCTTCCGGGCTGGAAGTCATCAACGTTGGAGAAGCGAATGCCGATCTGGACCGTCGCTGAGGAGACAATTGATGAGTCTCTCTTATGACCCCGCCCAAGCCAAGGCTTCACGATGGGTGGTGGTCTGAAGGTGTCCCTCACGGGTTTTGTTGCGGCAGGAGTTGGCGCATAAGTTGTCGCGGGCAGTACCGCGGCGGGAGCGAACGGGTTGTTGGGGAATAAAGAATAGGACTGCTTTCGCATGTGGGATGGAGACGTCTCAGATGGTGGCTGAGTGGGCTCTGGAGCTTGTGGGATGGTAACCTTCGGGCGGAAAGTGGGGCTGCTGGGACTCTGCCCATCCTCGACGTCCACAGCACGCAGCAAATGAGTGATGCTGTCCGCCCTTGTTCTGTCGCGGTCATTGGAGCTGTTTACTGGGCGCATGGCGTGGGCCGAGCCAGCATCTTCCTCGTGTGGTTCGAGCTTGGTCTTGTGATGGTCTTGCTCTCCCAGATTGTGACCGATAGAGGCATTGTTCTGTGACCGGAGGAAAAGGTGCAGACCAGCGACCATGAGACCATTTACATTGGCCACGACAGATGCAATCATGGAAAGGTTAAGGTTCTGAAAGATTTGCTTCTTCGAGTCCAAGAAAGTGAGACTGAAGAAGAATGGGATGACGAAGCCCTGAAGTCAAGGTCAGTCAGCCAGTCATCACCGGGCTGATCAGAATGTGTATAAGTCGATCACTTACATTGGAAATGAAACCGAGGATCAGGTAGTAGATCATCCTAGAAGCCGCCATCCTCTCGACGGGGTCGACCATGCGGCTCTTGCTCAATCTCACAAAGATTGTGATGATGACGATGAGCAGCACAACAGACACACCCAAAAGAACCGCGAAAACCCCCTTGGCGTAAGGCTTCACTAGCCAGAGCAAAGAAGCGAAGCAGAAGTCGGGCGCTCGGCTGATGGAGGCGACGAGAAGGGTCGCTAACAAGAAGGTTGAGACGGTGCCGATGCAAATCGCCACGGTCCATCTTCGTCGGGGAGAAAATTGCGATCTCAGTCCCCGCGCTGCCGTCTCGACTCCGAAGACAAGGTGAATGTATGGTGCAATAAAGAGGGCTGGATCTGCTATTAGCCTTGCTGTGCTCAGAGCAGTCGAGGATATCACTACTGCTTACCCGGCAACAAGAATATCGCAACAACGGTGCAGCCCCTGCTCAGCAGGGCCTTCAGGCCAATTGATTGGGCGGCGGCGAAGATGATGCTCTGAACCGTGATGCCCAAAGACAGCACGAGAGGATATACTTCAACGGCGTGGATGAAGAACAAGCCCGATGGTCTATGATGGGTCAGCGTGGGAAGTCTCTTCACCTCAGACTGCCAGACTGACGCATCGGATGATCTCCTGATCGCCCTCCTCCTGTACGTGTAGCAACCGTAGACGATCCCCACAGCCGTTGCAAAAGCCGCCAAAGCATTGAAGGAAGCCAGAATCATGGTCGACGTCCGGATCGACTTGGATGCCGCAAACTGGAAGCTGTCCGAGATTGCCTGGGAGGCTTCTTTCGAGACGTTGAAGTTCGAGGCGCGCCCGGAAGGGCCGTTCGCATCGGCGAAGGAGGAGAAGGCTCCTCCGTACGGCGAGGCGCTCATGGTGGCGACGTATACCAGAGTTGCCTCGAGATTTAGAGACTGTTGGACCTCGAAGAGGTGGGTATTGGCGTCGAGCCGCGCGAATCTCGGCCGCGTTCGTCAAGTCATCGATACGAATAATGAATGTTTGGATACACGATGGTACGGGTTGGATGGAGAAGGTGGAATGGCACATCAAACAATAGCAAGTGAGTAGGGTAGGGAGAGAAAATGAACATATGCCAACGAGTCGAGCCAAAGAGGAGCGGATTTGCCATACAGGGGGGTGGTTCCCGCACCTCCCAGAGGCCTATGACGGCGAACCAGACGAAACAGACCCTGACCTGTTATGGACTGCCTTGGAGGGATGGAAGAACAGGGAGGAGCAGGGAAGAAGAGGATTCGCCAGTGGAGCAGCAGGAGCAACAGGAGATGGGCGACTGCGCCCATAAAGATAGATATCGCATGGGTGATCCATAAAAAGAATGATCGTGCACAGGGACGGCAGGACATGTGTAGTCGTGGGACGAGGGGGAGAGAGAGAGAAGTTGAGCAGAGGCTGCGACGACCCCGGTCCCTGGTGACGACTTGACGAGGCTACCCCCGCGCGGACAACTGCAATGCCGGGGCAGGGTGAAGAACTGGTGCGGCCACTTAGCAAGCAGCCGCCCCCGTGGGCCGCTACGGTCTTAGTAACCGGGGCAGAGGACGGTGGGTGGTGAACTAGGAGGACAAGTCGGACAAGTCGGACAGACAGGGGCCAGGCCATAGGGGGGGAAGATGGATGGAAGCCGAACTAGACGTATAGAAGCAGAACCTGGACAGGTGGCCAGCCGTGGGTGGGATTGAAGCTAAGCCTGGCCGAGCACGAGCAGCGACCGTCCAGTCATGCACCCGCTCAGCCAGCCAGCCAGCCAGCCAATACAGTCCTGGAGGCGAGCGGACAAGGCGACAAGAAGGGGATAAGACGTGGCAAGGCCCGATAAGGTTCGAAGGGCTCCGTGAGGCGTCGACCGTGGCTAGGGGTGGGGGGACAGAAGGAGACAGAAAGGAGACGAGGAGGTACCTCGTCACCACCAAGACGAGGGGAGCTACATGGGGCGGATGTGGCCGAGTCGGACTGCGCACCTCGGTGCCACGCCCCGACCGGGAGCATCGCTTCGGAGGGGAAGAGGACGCCCAGAGCAGACATGGCAGACGGCAGGCGGCAGACGGCAGACGGCAGAGTGGTGGTGGGAGAGCTGCGGGAGGGTGAGTCAAGCATTGAGGACGGGAAGAGATGAGGCACTCATGATACACGCCCTGGGTTTCGTACCTGTCGGAATCTTGGGACGACGTTGAATTTGAGCTTGCGGCTGCACGCGCTAGGCCCCATCTGGCTCGGATCTGTCCTACCCGTTCGTGCTGGGCGTCAGAGCGCCTGGGCCCTGGACCCCTTCCCCACCCCACCCGACAAGGGCAGGCATCCTAATTCTTGCCTCGCCAGTATCCGTCGACCCTGCCCACCAGCCTTCCAAGGTTCCAACGTCGTGGAGCCCGCCACAGCGTCACCTGCCATCATCGTGGCGACTGCGCCTTGTCGGCCATGCCCAGGGACTGTGTAGTTCACGTGGGTAGAAACCCTCCGAAATTAAATTGCTGCACTCTAACTTGACAGATGGAGATATTCTTTGATAATATCCGCCATCCCAGAGTCTAAACAAGTGGCGAGAAACCGAGAAACCTCCAGGTCCCGCCAAGATGGACATGGCTACACCCCCCAGGCAGCATTCCGCGGCACTCCATATCGAGAACATGCAGATCTGCTAGGCATTGGCTCACGAGTCGGACGCCAGCGCCCTGCTGCGTCTGGAGGACAGCGACTTCGCGCCGAGCCCCGCCGCAGCCAGACTTGTACGTCGTCTGCATCTGCATGGGCTATTTCCAGTCGTTTCCCCGTGGCCCCTTCCAAGGTTCTCGACAGCCTCGTCTCAAAGGAAACCTTGCGAGGGCTGGCTGGACCTATGGCCTAGCCACACTCGTCTGCGCCCCGAGCACCTAGAAACACTTTTCCTACTCTCCGTTCACTCGGTATGGCCATTCAGAGATGCCCTCGGCCTAGTGCAACCTTGGGTGGCAGTTTTGAGGAATATCTCCTAGCCTGACACGCCCACCTTAAAGCCAAGCCCCACCTACGCCTCGGCCTCGTGCAGGGTCCATCCCGACCCCCCGTCCTGACGTCGAAGCCGCCCCTTGTATCACAGCCCAATGGCGGATGAGAACAGGCCTGGCGGCTTCTTTTATCGCAGCGCGCAACTCTTGAAGCGAGACTGCGCCAAATCGCACCACCTGAGCCGAATAGCCTCTCTAACCTCGGATCACGGGGTATAGTCTTTCTCCAGAACCAAAGATCAGATAGAGGGCGCCTGTCCAAGTTCAGTCGGTTCGGCGAGTTGGGGCGACGTAAGCTGCAAATACACTCGCGACTGAGAGGCGATTAAGCATAGCTTGGCCGCCGGTGCTACGAAGCCCCACAGCAGCGAGACTGTCTAAATTAATATCCGCGGCACCTTTGCCGAACTACTCTACGCTCCGGCCGCCGTCCAACGACCGACCGAAGCCTCTCCCGTGTCAACGTCCGCCCTCCCACATCCCACATTCCATTCACATACCACTCACATCCCACAAGCCACACCCCAGCACCGTCTCATCGTCTCGCCTCCCTGTTTCTTCCCCGGCTGCAAACCCCCTAGAATGCTTCAGTCTCGGCGTGGTCATGGAGTATCCACACTGGTGAGTAACACCAAAGGCGAGAGGGCGAGAGAATTGTTCCACACGACATCTCGACCCGCCTCTGGAACCTTGGTCATCCGAAATGACGGGGGCTGTTCATGATCTGCACCCATCGCTGTGGCTCGGTACCGTAGTACCCCCCAGGCGTCATGCCCGTGGTCTGGACACCCCATTGGACTGGCTGGCGTTCCACGGTCGGGCTCATCGCCAATCGAGTACCAATCGAGCGTGTTGCGATGCATCATCCTTTGCTCGCGGGGCTGTTGTCAACCCCCGGATGCCGGCCCCTTCCAAGCTTCGGTCCTCGGAGAGATCTGATAGTGGGGCGCCATCAAGCCATGAACGTGGTCTGAGTCGACAGTTAATCTATCGCAGACACTTCCGCTTGTCAACCGACAGTTGACAATGCTCCGAGCATGAGCTTGATGGCAATTGGTTTCGTTGTCAGGTGGCTCGCTGTGGGGACTGCAGCCCAGCTCGACCCCCCTGTCTGGATGACTGTTCAGACCCTCCCTCGTGGTCCGAACTTGGCTCATCCCAAGCCTCGCCGATAGGCCGAGCGCAGGCCGCCCGTCCGAAGATCCTTTCGTCTGAAGAATGCCTCTCCTGCCTGCAGGGTCGCTCCGTCTTGCGTAAGGCTTCAGCGGGGAGTAGCAGAGCGTTAGAGATCCGCCATAACTTGCCTGTCTAGGCCCCCATACAGCACCTGATTGTCTCACAAAGCCGGGTCAGCCTAGTGCGGAGCCCAATCGCCTTCCCTCAGTCGCCAAAGCACCAATGATCTTTTTGTCTGGTTGCGCGAACCTCTGGGGACACCCGTCGTTTCCGCATTTGATATAATTGGATTGGTCTTGTCATATTCAACCTTGCCGGCGCCTGAATGATCACCTGGGCACTGCTGCAGATCGCGGGTCCATCAGCCGCCCTACCGCTTGGGCACCAGACTTTCGTCTCGAATTCGGCCCGTTGTGAAATGGGCATCGAAATGAAGAGACACGAAGAGCAGTCCGAAAATCACCCATACTCCGTCTGAATAGAATAATTGCTGGGTGGTCGGAATGCGGGTAAGGGCTTGTGATCTGCCCGTCACCGTCCTCAGATCAGCGCATCTTCGTCTTGACCTGCGCTTCTTCCTCAACGCTCACGGACAACACACGTGTTTCTCCGCATTTTTTAAAAATTACCTGGGTTTCCCCAGAGGCTAAGCCACCGTCAAACAATCGTTCATTTGTCAGACAAGGACTGCAAAATCTAGGAGACCTGATCCCAGCCAGGGGTGTCACAGCCGCAGGAGGAGAGTTTGAGTGGGCGTTTCGTTTCGACTCTTAACGTGGCCCAGTAAAAACCGTAACGCCTACGTCCTCGCACCACGTCCATGATGTCTCATTGATTCTGTTTGAGATTGTCCGCGAGGCATTTGTGATAACCCGTCTGTGTGGGCGCGGAGCTCTGTTTCATTTAGATTGCTGGCACTCGCCTGAGCCAGTTGCGCCGGGTTGCGGGCTGAAGCCATCACCGGAGAAGCTGCCCGAATGACAAGGCCCACCAGTCGCTAGCAAAACCGCAAAGCCTAGGAGAATTATCGAAGACGGGAAGAAGAGTCCCGGTGGGCTGCGGATTCACCTTCGAACTCTGAGCGGTAGGCAGTGTACGTCCTTAATTTCCCGCGCGGGCACGCAGCCACGTGGACAGCAGTTTGTCTAGCTAACAACAACACAGGCAGGCAAGCCAACAAGGTGCATTAATCTATCGACCGTTGCACCAGACCTTGCCTAGCATTTGACCACCATCGCAGCCCCAGCCCAAACTACTACTACCTTGGCCGTGCGCTGTCCCATCGACAAGGGGTCAACGCCTTCAACTCACCAACATGTACCTTGAATTGAAGTGACGACTCGTGATACAGTATCTCGCTCAGATTGGGACGTTCTATCCACCATCTACGCGTCGACTCCCAGCATCAGTGCGCGATGGGGAAAACAGGTTTCTCAAGACGCTTCCGCTTCTTGTCCTCAATGCTAAATAAAATATGAAATCTATCCCACGGCGCCATTAAGGTTTCCGGTTCACACGCGGCGGAAGCAGCCTCACAAGCCGCGCACCCAAGCCCCATTGAGCAACTCAAAACTAGGTAGGCTCGGTGCAAGTGCTTATCTCCCTGTCCTTTCGTGTCTCCCGGCTCCCTCCCGACCGCAGTCGTGCAATTTACCCACGGAGGCGCCTCGGGCAACCCCCAACCCTCGCTCCCCTTCAGTTCACCGGTTTCCATGCCCGACACCTGCCACAGACAATGCGCCGAGCGGCGCGTGTCGTGGGAAGGGGTCTCCCGCAAGGGTCGGGGGCTTACGACGCGCTGGTTGCTGGGGGCTCGAGACAGTGGCATGCGAGCGGCGCCGGGGCCGGGGGCGGTGCGTTTGCTGGTTCGCCGGGCGGCAAGAGGCCGCCGGCGAGGTGCATTCGCCCAGGCGGGCCTGTCTATGTGCTCGTCGCGGGGAGGAGGCACCGGCGAACTTGCGCTCTGATCATCAACTGTTGATACCCCCGCCTGGCATTCTGTTCCCTCATTTCCTTGAGCGGTGGTGATAGGACGCTTTGTTGGCGTGCCCGCACGGTGATACGACTCACTCCTGAACCCCTCTCTTGTCGGGAGATTGCACTTCATGGGCGAGACGAGTTCTTGCTTCTGAGCTTGTGGGAAGCCCGGGCTGCTCCTGGTGTCAGCAATTTACTCTACACGACAGAGACACTGGGACAATCGTGCGTCGATCTGGTCGAGGCGTGTGATGGCAAAGCTAAACATACCTATGAGGTCTGGCCTCCTCGGTATTTGTTTGCGTTCTCGAGCCGAGGCAGTTAGACCGCAGACACTTGATATGGGGGGGCAGCTCATCCTAGGCAGCCGGGTGCTGTCTCCGCGTCTACGGCATCTCATCGCAACCTGCCCATGCGGCAGCCCAATACTTCTCATCCGAAGGAATCGTGGTAGAGGTCATAATTAAAACTTCGTAGAAATGAAAATTGCTATCTGGGTATCCAAGGAGATCCCAAGACGACTCCCACGCCGGATGGTACCAATCGTGTGGCAGCCGAGAATGACACTGCCGGTGAGGTGTTCACGCCGTCCCTTTCGGTATCCTCTGTGGGCACAATGACCTCCGCGCTGAAAAGCTGAAATGGGAATTCAATGAATCGTCAACCTTTTCATCAATTCAAAGTGCCTATAGTGTAACGGAGGATATAGTACACAGACCAGGTTGTGGGTCTGGTCTCAGGACTGTTGGAAAAGAGAAGACCGGTGACAGGACTGCACTTATACGAAGAGCTCTTGGTCACTGCGAACTTTTCCAGCTCACTTTCGTTTCTTGAGGGATGTTCAAAGAATTCCACCTGGAGATGTCATCTTCAACTGCCAGTTGAAACATCATCTGATACCTTGCAAACAAGCCGGGCGACTTATCCTCGTCCGCATCAGCGGTATACGACGCAGTGGCTTCCACGAGGCAACTCGCCCCCGACTACACCCCTTCTTCATGAGTGTGTACGTGAAAGTACCTCTCCCGGTCCAAAACCACCAGAGACGGTGGCCCGGGGGAAAACAGCTGCTGGCGGAGGTACTCTGCCGCTATTCAACGATGCACGGAGGTCCACGGTGATGCTGCTGGTGAGCACTCACACCTGGCGTTCTCATGCGCAGAAGCGATCACAAACAGTCAGCCCGTGAAGCCACATCTACGATGAGGACAAAGCATCAAGATGACCATGAATGAAAAACGGAGGCGTGTGTGCTGGCAGAGCAGAACACCACACATGGACGTATCAGTAGCAGCATCACTATTGGGCTTCGTTATGATGTCCACCACGCTGCTTTCTTGTTCACCTGCTGTGAACTTGACCTCAACTGCCATAGAATTAGTTCCCACCTCTGGAACAACTGTCAACATGACAGCCCCAGAAGACAACCTCCCATGGGACCAACTTCTGCAAAACAACCCCCGATAGCAAGAGCTCTTGCGTGAATCTGCTAAGATATTGTACGGGTAACCGGGGGGCTCATTGCCAAACGACAGAGGCTTTGAAAGGACGTCTCGGGGTTTCTCAAGATTTCCCCATGACTTCCAAAGTAGTCAGGACGAATTCGGACCCGATTCAGCGTGAAAGAAATTGTGATTCGATGCTCTCATGACCAGCTGGACTCTCCACGGTCCTCATTATCCCAACTACCGAGCTGCAGACGTGCACTTATCGAAATCGATTCCAACTGGCCGAGGTCATCGTGGACCCCGTCCATACGAAAGAAGCAACCACCTTAGATGCTTCAGACACCCTCCTATCGCCTGTCCGCCCACGTGTGCCACTTACTTGGACTTCTTGGTCACCTGAACCACAGTCTGCGTCGTGAAAGCGGCGGTGATCGAGTTCCAGCTGACGTAAATGGCGTAGATCGGGATGAAGACCCACAGCATGTTGAAGAAGACCAGGTAGACCCACAGGTACATAAAGTTGCTGGTGTCCAGGAACTGGTTTCCAGTGAGCCACTCCGGGCAGAACGTCATGAAACCTGCGAGCAGGAGCGAAGAAGCAGCGAGGTTAGCTTTCCGACTCTACACAGCGTGGGGATGGACGGATGCCTGGGGCGGCTTAGGGACAGAACCCACCTCCATACAGCTCAGCCGTTGCGATAACAACCATCAGGATGTTGGCCCGCGCGTTCTTCTTGGCGATATCGTAGCACACGAGCACGGCCAGCGGGGCAACGATGAGCACTGTCAGGAGCTCCAAGCTCACGACAGTCTGCAGTCAGAGGTAATCGGTTAGCACAATCCCGCCCCGCTCAGTCTTGGTGGAACCGATCTGGTCACCCTGTGTGCCTGTGTAAAACAGCTCTCGGGTAACCCCTAAGACAAGCCACATACCGTGTCCGCGCCAGCCCATCGCTTGTCAGCGCGGGCGTATACCATCCAGAGCTGCGCGAAAGGGTTGTCGGCGGGGGCAGCCTGCGAGCCCCAGATGTGGTTGTCATGGCCTAGGTAGCCCTGCTGGGTCGAATAGTAGCGGCCGGAGCGGAGGTCGCCGACGGTCAGGTTATCGTAGGGTACCGAGCTGAAGAAGCACTGTTGCGCCCGGGAGGACGACAAACTGTCAGTAACCTTGGCGGACGGTGCCTGCCTAGCCTTCTAGGAGGTCAGTCGGGCAGGTAGGTGGACTTGCGTGGTAGAGGAAGCTTCCTTCCAGAAAGACATGGATCAGGGCGTCGAAGGCGTGCCAGATGAAGAGGAAGCGGTAGCTGCCGGGAGTTGACGGCGAGAGGGCCTTGAGCGAGGTCGCGTAGGCCACGCCTAGGATCACGACGGTCGAGGCGAGGGACACGAGAGTGGTCTGGTCGAACAGGTCTGGCGGGAGGCCGGAGTCGGTGGCTGTGGTGTTACTCGCCATTATGATCAGTGCGGTGTAGATGAAGGTGCAATTGGCGTTGCGGTGGAGATTGGCACGGAGTTGAAGCTTCACAATTTGGGCTGCGCAACCGGCTCGGTCGATTGGAATGGGTGTTGAGGTGTGGGCGATTGTGCCAAGGTGGAAACTCAGGAGAGGGCGCGTCGCTTCTGCCGGCCTCACGAAACAGCCAGCAGGACCGTGCGCAGAAGGTTCATTGCAACCTCGACTCGACCCCTGCAACCAACCGCTTGATTGAGTTGTACAAATGAACAATGTGACAGAGACAATCGCAACGCCTTGTCAAGTCTGCTGTCCCTCAAAATGAATTCCTTTTGCTCGAGCATCCCTCGGGTGCCTTTCCTCATTTAACCCTTCTCAAAAATGTTCCACAGGCTTGAGCATCTCACAACATCTCATCCGAGTAGAACATGGTACCCACAAACACAAACAGGAGCGGCCGTGTCACGGGAACTTGCAAGGCAAAGGCATTTCGTAAGGATGTGTTGATTCTTCGACTAGGAAACTGAAGTACTGCCTAGGGGGTATGTGAAGAAATCCGTCCTGCTCAACGTGTCATGCCAGACTGTGTCCGTCCGTCATTTTCTCTCAAAAGAATCCGTCCGAGACGCCAAAAAAACATAGTCATGTCGAAGTCGTCATGATGTTGTGATTTGAGGTGAGTGGAAGGCACTTAGTGGGTAGCCTTCTGCTTGTTGGCCTCGGCCGAGGCATCGTGCTGGTGCTCCTTGGACTTGTCCTTCAGGGCGTCGACACCGGCCTGGGCACTGTGGGGTTGTTAGAGTCACGGGCGAGGCTGGAAAATGAGAAGGGGGCGAGCATACCGGTTGCCGATGGAAACGTTGGAGTCCTTGGCGACCTCCTTGTTGGCCTCCTTGGAAGCCTCGTGGGTGGTGCCCTGGATCTTGTCTGTGATGGGCTGTCAGTCATGGTGTTGATATTGAAGGGTGGAGGTCGGGGAGGGATGGAGTCGTACCCGAGACGTAGTTAGCGGTGCTCTTGATGGTATCCATGGTGATTGGGGTGTGGTTGGTGGTTGTAGAGGTTGTTGGTTTGGTTGTTGATGGTGTGTGAAAATCGTTTGCTTTGATGCTGGGGTTTGATGGTTGATGGAGAGGGGAGAAAAGTTTGGGAGAGAGTCGAGGAGACGAGAGTCTTTAAGTAGTCCAGAAGCCCCCCAGGACGGGGAGGGATGGGACGGGCCAACAGCCGGAGCTTTTTGCTGTCAACAATAACGCGCAGGCAGTGACTGACGTGCTACCTTCACGTTTGCATTCGGAGGCAAGTACGTAAACCTGGCCCAAGCAAAGGAGGCGAGCAAAGGGCCAGCAGTTGCAAGTAGGCTAGTGTCTATCATGTGAATCAACAGCTACGTCATGAAGCCCCCTGGTGGGCGGGAGGAGCCAGGAGCAAAGGTTGCCAGAGCAGGAGGCTCGCAAAAAGGCCCGAGGGCCATGTCCACACAATGGCTTAGCCCTATGGGGCTAGCGAACCTGGGGGCCAGACCGTCGTCCTATGGAGTTTCCCGTCGACAAACGCAGGCCAAAAGCTTAGGTCCCGAAGTCTGGCGTGTCAAGGGGAGACGCTTCCGTGAGACGGTGGGGGCGGGCATGACCTCTGACGTAGTGAATACGTCTGGGTAGCCGCAGCAAGGGCAAGACACCCAGGCTGCCTGCCAGCTCGAGACCTTAACGACAAAGCAGCAACGAGCGAGCGGCTGGGCGCGGCATTTGACTTGTACGCGGGTGGGCTGGATCGGCAGGCTCAGTGACGCAAGTACGCAGTATGTAGACTATGTACTGTAGGTCAAGCAACGATACATGAATTGCATACGACCAGACCTTACACACAAAGTTGCAGCAGTTGCAACAGCAGCCGCAGCAGCAGCGCAGCCGTGCTGTGCCATTGCGGCTTGTTCCGACAAGGCTCGAGCTAATCTGCCCATATGATTAGCATCTAATCAGATCTGGCCACCTCTCCGGTTTCCCATCCACAATTGTCCACAATTGTCCATCTCCTGTTCCCATGGCAGTGGTCATGACGTTACGGTGGGCTTCCCCAGATGCTTGCCACCTACCAAATACGGTAACCAGCTCCCCCCTGCCCTTTGTGTCACGCAGCCTGGCAGCTCGGGCGGTTCCCCCACCAGCCTGCTAGCGTCCACCCTGGCGGGGCAACTTCTCCAATTCCTCAGGAATGCCCCTGCCAGACCCGTAGTGACGTCAGTCCATGGGGGAATGCATTCCGCGTTCATCAACTGGTCAGCCAGCCAGCAGCCAGCCAGCTAGCAGCCAGCCTGCCATGCGGGAGAGGCGTAAGAGGAAAGTGAAATCCCATCAGGACAATAAGCCTCGGCCGCTAGGCTGGGAACAGCAGGCCTGGCGGGGCCAAAGGACGATCGCCACATGACACATGTCCTCGCGTTCCTGCAGCCAGACAGGCAGGACAGGCCGAGGAGCCACAGCCGCACCCGCCCTCAAAAGGAAGAAAAGAGCGTATCTCGATTGTCCCCGCTTTTCCTCGATCCACGACGCAGCGTTTAATTCAATGGCCCCGGAGGTGCTGGTCCGTCGGGACTGTGGCTGCTTTGCCCCTCCGTGCATTGTCCTTACAGCCCTGGCGCCCGGCGCCCCCAACCAACCAGCCACACATGCCAGGCAAGCCTGCCAAAATCATGCACTGGCTACCGTTGCTGGGCGGCCGGTGAGGACATTGATGGTCTACACGGCCTTGTAGCACATCAAAGTTCTTTCTCCCGTGTTTGGCCCTGAGACCCCGCTGCTGTGCCACAGAAGGAGAGGGTATCCTATGGGCCCAGTTTGTTGGAGCAGCAAACCATCTCGCTTTACGTTGCCCGACACTGGCTGTACGTACGGGCTTACCTGGGCAACGCCATCTGGCATCCTGCACGTCGAACTCGGCATCCTGCACCCCCAAAGGTTGAGCACTATCGTTGAAATGCTACTAACTGTTGTCACCGTCCACTCACATTCTCCGATACGTACATACATAAGTATGTAACCACTCTCTGTCATCGGCCCAATCCTCTGCCACCACTCTGTTCTGGCGATCGCATTGAGTTCCCATCGAATGGTTCCATCTGCAGGCCTCTGCATCTACACATTTGCGAAAGCATCCTCGACAGTCTAATGGCGCAGCTGGGTCGAGGTAGAAGTCCTCGAAGCCCAAGTGGCACGATGATCCCATTGTGATGACACTGAGTTCCTTGATACACATTCCGTGTAGGATCCATCTAGGGGCACTGCCGACCCTGAAGCGACGATATTGGGTCACGGCTTCGACGTACACGTGTCCATGATAAGCTCAGCTCAGCTTTACGTCACGGCACAGCGAGTAGCACTGAGTGACACTCGATTTGCACCTATGATAAAGGCGCCTGTAGCATATGGCTCCGGGGTGTGGCCTTGCTTCTTAATCGAGACCAGGAATCCGTGGGCAACTATGGCTCAGCCTCAAGCATCTCATGATTTCTCATAGACACTGAGCCTATTGCTGCCACCGCAAAACTCTGTCGCGTTGCCCGCGCATGTCATCGAGCAATCGGTCGCTAGAGCAGCTACAGAGCCAGTCCCAAAGCTGTTGCCACAATAACCTATCACGGTGTTAGTCTCATACCGGTTGACTTCGGGACTCGGATGTGGGAAAGCCGGCAAGGGCGACAGTACTCACACTCGCGGGCATATTCGACGCCAAAGTACGTATATGCCGAGCAGAAACTCGCGCAACGCTCCAGCGTCATCCCGGAATCAACAAAACTCCGCGCAGTCAGCGCCCTGGTTTGATCCGCCTCTGTCACACAGCCATAAGACTTGTACGCCCCAACAGTCTCCGGCTGTGTTGGCTCGCCCCCATCGCCTCCACTCCCACCACCACTTCCCGCTCCCGGCTCAGTACTATTGTTGAAGTAGAGTTCCAAACGATTGCCAGATCCACAGTATTCAACATCGGAGCCCGAGCAGACCATGTTGCAGTCGTCCAAGGGGGCACTCCCGGTCGAGGCATCGACTGTGTTTCCACAGTAGCCTGTGGGGGCACAGTTAGCACTTGAACCAGCTATGTACAGGGTAGGTCAAACTGATGACGTGGTTTCTGTGGTACTGACACTCTCTCCCGTATTCTGCCCCGAAATATCTGTAGCCTGCACAGAAAGAAGCGCAAGACTCAAGAGTCATGCTATCGTCGGAGTATGTCGACGCTGAGAGAGCACGCACCCCGGCGCCCTCCGTCCAGCAAGACACGAGCTCGTACCCAGCTACTGTAGCCTTGTGAGCCAACGTCGCAACCGCTGAGGTGCTAGATGAACTTGCAGTTACAGTGCTAGAAGTCGTCACAGATGGCACAGACGACACAGACCCTGTCGACAGGCTTGAAGTGCTGAGCGAGCTGGACGGGACGGCCACCGTGGATAGCGTGGAAGATACGGCAGAGGACGATGAAGAGGGGCTGCTTCCACACGCGACAGCTCCAGAGAAATCCAGGCACGTCCCCGCCAATTCAGAAGCGAGATTAAACGTGTTGGACGCCGCCGAAGTGCCGCTGCCGCTCGTGATGTCGAGCCGTGTCGCGTGGGACCTGCCGCCTGGTATGGTGTATGATGCCGAGTAGAAGGTGTACGGCCCCACGCAGGCGCCCGCCACCATGGCGACATCGGTGGCCTGAAGCCGCGGCCCTGCGATCCCGGTCTGGGGCGTCTGATACTGGATCCCGAGGCTGACCGGCGCCGCGCGGTCGCTGAGAACGAGGGCCGACACGCTCAGGCTTCCGGGTCCCTGCAGGAGACAGCTCTGTGGCCTCTGCAGGATCACGGCGTCGGAGATGGGGTAGGTGTTGCCGTTGTTGTCGTACAGCTTGGTGGTCCCGTCGGCAAACTCCAGCGCGATGGTGAAGGACGAGATGCCGGACTGCACGGGGATTTCGGCATCGAGGGGGAAGTAGTCGAAGGTTTCATCCACCCCAGACCCGGATGCCTGGCGTGTGGCCGAGATGACGCAGGAGTCGCAGCTCACGCCGCTGCGGTCCTTGTACGCAAGTGTGACACCGCTCACAGCCTGCGACAGTCCTGTCGTCCGCACGCGGATGCTTCCGCTCAGCTGCAGTGATGCGCCCCCGCCGTTCATGGTCAGCTGTAGGCCAACCGGCTTGACGGCATAGGGAAGGATCGGGTCTGATAGGGCCACGCCCGACGGAACGACGTCAATCATCCGCTGTAGAAGGCTCGCGCAGGTGCTGGTGAAGTCTGTCGGGCTTGCCAGTGTCTTCATGGTTACATTCCTGTCCGAGTTGAACACGACGAAATCAGCGTTCTGCTTCGCTGCAACAGACGGGCCTACAACCAGCGGGTTCTGGGTCGTCCCGTCCAGGTACTCGGTTACGATCTTGTTGTCGAAGACGTCTGGCGTCGAATCCAGAGCCGACTCGTTGTTCACCGCGGTGCCAGCGGGCACCAGGTCCGGGAACTCTGTCGTGTGGACGCCGCCGATGGTGTGCCCGCAGGCGACCAGTCCGATCATCTCAGCCTGCGTGAAGCCCATGCGCGAGAACTGGTTGATGAAGGTCGATATCGCATTCTGCGGCTTTTTTTATTAGAAATGTTATTGTTAGCTGTATTCTCAGTTTTAGATATATTATTGTTCTAGTTCTTTTTTGAGAGTGTATTACCTGTGGCACGCCAGGACTTCCCGCGGATGTCGCATCGATTCGACCGCCCCGTACAGGCACCAATGGCCCGCCACAGACTCTAGTGGCAAGCGAGGCCCCCAGCGCAATCAGGTCCGACATGGTGCTCCTCGGCGAGAAGTAGTCAGAGTAGGTGATCAGGCTCGTGTTGAGCCCCGGGCCTAGGTTCTCCCCATTGTTTAGCTCGTACATGAGCGATGCATCGAGCCCGCCGATGCCGAAGAATGTGTTTGCCGTTGCCATCTGTGTATATCATGTCAGGATCGACGCCACTACAAGTCCTTGAATACACGAGGCCAAGCCGAGCTCACATCGTGGAATGCAACGCGAAGCCATTCTGATGCAGTCTTGCGTCCCACCCCGTGAGCTTCTTTCGAGCAGGGAGTGATGGTATCTGCGAACAGCCGCGCCCTAGAACCATAGAGCTGGTACATTATTTCTTCTATCTCGTCCGTCGCCGCCGGCCATGTGGGATCCGAGCGGACGCCCGCCGCGAGGGACAGCGATAATACGACTGCGTTCTTCAGGTTCATGATGGGCTTTCCAATGGGGTACAGCTGGTCCAGTCAAGGATTAAACATTAATATGCGGGGGAGGGCGACCCTGTAAGAGTACCGGGGTGGTACCGGGGCCCGATTTCAACGAGGGTCAGAAGAATAGCACGGCGTGACGACACGACCGACGGGCAGACGCAAATATTCAGAAGACAAAAGAGGTCTCAAAAGCATTGGGATCTTAGGAACGAAATATTAAACGTTGTCATCCCACTGCTGACCACCAACTCACCGTGCCGTATCCCGCGTGCGGTATCTTAGGCTCGCCCAGGCCATGATAGTATCGTGGCATCGGCCCACTTGGTTCGCAGCCGTCAATGGGCATCTCATGGAGATGAGCTCAGCCACTAGGAATGCCTACCCCTGCCCACGCGCAGAATGCGGTTCGTATTCCTCCTTCTGGAGGGGTGAAGGAACAAGGGCGCCAAGCCCTTCTGGGTGCTGATTTGGATATCAGCCGCACGGTATTGGCCCGCTCCCACCGCGACTATTCGAGGCCTGCATACAGCGGTGCCTAGCGCGTGGGTGTTGTCTGGGTGTGTTGGTGGTCACGTGTTGGGCTTGCTGGCTTCCAAGGTCCCTGGTCCAGAAGATTGCCGGAGGGCGGCTTGCTGATGTTGGACGTATTTACAGGACAGGCAGGTGGCTCGGGTTCTTCTATTGTGTGTGACTGAGAACTAGCTGCATTGGTCAGGGGGGCACATTACGTACGATGGAAGTTGCTGGGAGAGATAAGCCACACCGGGCCCGGCTGCAGGTGTGGCCCATCTCGGTTGGGGCCCGGGGGGTCGGGTCCCGGGTGCACGACAGCAATTGACTATGGGTGGCTTGGATATGTTTTTTCTTTATCGTCTCAGATGTCACGAACAATTTTTTTCACACTACTTATACGTAGCTGTGGTATTATTGGCAGCAGGGCACCCTGGAACTATTGCAAGGTACTACCGTAGGGTACTTCAGTCGCCTACGTGTATGTGCAGCACTCAGTAAGGTACTCTTGCTGACCTGAAGCTTACCTTGATCAGTCTGCATCCGTGTGCGCTAGAGCAGCCTGTCAGGGAGAGGCATTGAACACGCCAGATACAAGCTGCAGCGCAGTTGGTCCACACGGCCGTAAATCCGCCACAGACGTTGAGACAATTATAAAATTGAACCTAGTCCCGGGGTCCACGGCACTTCCTACCAGTTACTTACAATGTTGGTTCTAGCCCAAGGTGTGTGCAATATCTCAACAGCCTGAGCTTCAGGTTCAGAATGTCACTTGCATGGGGGGGGGGGCGGAAGTTGACCCCATGTGTGGTTTCGCTTCTATTCCGTATACGTCCGAGGACATACATGGCGCCTTCATACGGTGGTAAGCACCCAAGACCCAGCGCTTGAAGAAATACAGTGCCAATAACAGTGGAAAGAGAATACAGTACGTGGGCATGTGGCTGAGCCTCGTTCCGCACAGTTTTGCGTAGATAATTCCTTATACCCAACTTCCTGTGCCACTCATCGAGATCCCCAGCCCTTCATCTGAAACAAGTCAAAGATAAGTCATAGCCTCAAATGCCATCTCGGGCTGGTTGCAAGGCCTCTGTCAACTTTTGTTAGGATACGGTGAAGGATTTGTACCCGTCGGCTTTGACCAGAACATGTAAAAGTGATTTTGTCAATAGACCAAGAATAGATGAGATAGTAAATCATAGTGACCAGTCTAGCAGCGGCATCGATGTCAAGCAGGCTGGTCAGAAATTATAAGAACAGCCCGCAATCTCTGCTTTACTTCCGTATCTTTCGGTATCCTCTACTCGTTCGATCAAGACCTATTCAGACATTTTACATTAGTCCCTCTCAAACTCTTTTCAGTTCTTTACCACATTCTGTGTGCTTGGATTGTTACAAAATACTAGGTCTCCAGTATCTACTACTATTTAAAGTTACTGCAGATGTCTTTAGACACATACGAAATAGAAGCGAAACTACCTAGGGAGTCTTAGTGTGGAAGCTCCTAGGTACTTCATGTGACGGCACGTGCAGATCCCCGTGACATCTGTTCATCCATTGAATTTAGTTCGATCGAACAGGACCCTGCGTAGCCCTTGCGAAGGGTCTGTTCGCCACCAATTGACTGCCCAGGTGATTAAACATTCCAACAAAATCAAAGGAGGCCCACAACATTCTCCGTGCAGACTGTTCTTCACATGCAGCGTTTGAATGGACGCAAGCGCTGTTTAGCCGGAGCCCATCTAGACTGGAGCAAATGAATGCTACAATGGGCAGCGTTGAAACAATAAAGTAAAGTGATCAGCATCTCACTAGTGCCAGCGGCTGAGGTATTTTTAGTAGACGCATGGTTTCTTTTTGGGCCAGTCCAGCTTGCATGCCGAGTGCTGCCAGGGTCTCTTATCCCAGATTCTAGACGTCCCACGGTTGAGGTGCAGGGACATACCTATATTAGGTGCACTATCCACGTGTGCCATTGCGGCTCAAAGAAGTCTGTGACTCCGAGTTAGTGAACGCAATGCCACCGGGGCCGTGTGATGCGTTGCGTAACCCTTCGGGGGAAATCTTAAATTCCACCATCCGGCCGGCTGGATCGCTCCGAGCTTGTCGGCCCGTGAACGATCTCTTTTCTCTTTACTTCTCATGCTGCTTCTGCTTCGTCTGACACATGGTAACAGTTCGTCGCTGAAGCACCGAGGCCGACCTGTGCGAGATCCGCTGTTTTGTCTCTCATTGCAGATTGAGGTGTCTCACGTGTAAGGTCGCCTCCCTTGTCTGGCAGATCGTAAAAGGGGCCCGTTCCTTCTGTCCTCCCCTGATCGATTCAAAACCTCTTCGTAGGTCCGCACGTTTCTTTCTGAACCAGGCACCGGAGGAAGGTGTTCACAGGGACAACATGGCTAAGGCGTCTTGCTCTCCTCTGGTGGGCTGGAATAAGTCGCTAGCACTCGGTCTACTCATCGTCATATGGGTAATGTGGAGTCTGGGCTCCTCTGACGCGAACACTGTGATCTCGCGGCTCCCTTCTCTCCCTGTGGGCGGTATCTCGTCATCATCGTCAGACCCAAGTTCGCGACCTCTGGTCTTGTACACATATGCAGAATCAGATAATGCGCGGGAGAACCTGGCCTTTTTCGTCAAGAATGGTTTGCATGGTAAGGCCGACTTCGTCTTCATTTTCAACGGCGAGACAAGCGCGGTGGACTTGCTGCCCCAGGCGCCAAACATTCGGATAATCAACCGAGACAACAAATGTTTTGATATCGGTGCCATGGGCGAAGTTTTGCGCCAGGACGATTTATGGAAGGGGTACAAGCGATTTATTACCATGAACGCGAGCATTCGCGGGCCCTTCTTCCCGGTGCATTCCGCCAGTTGCTGGACCGATACTTTCCTCAACCGCATCACAGATAAGGTCAAGGTAAGAAATCCCGATGCTCGCAACCCGAGCTTGTTCACTTAAAAGTTCGGACGTATATGTAATAGAAGCGAAACCATTTCACTGAGAAGGTGGTGCTGACAAGTCTGGCGTGAATCATAGCTTGTGGGCACATCACTCAACTGCCATCCGCGGGTGCATCTGCAGTCAATGCTCCTTGCGACCGACGATGTCGGCCTGTCCATTCTCCTCGACCCGACACTCGCGCTGAGCGCATCTGTGGATGACTTCTATGGCAGCTCGGAGGACCCGGTGGGCTTCTCCCCATGCTTCAGCACCCTGCACAAGGCGGTCCATGCCGAGATCGGTATCACGTCTCTCATACACTCTCAAGGATACGAAGTCGATGTCGTCATGACGGCGCCGCATTCGGCCTCGGACTTCGAGACCTTTTGTAACAATGTTGGCAGGCCGGACGACTTTCTGTACAAAGACAGCTACGTCGGCACTAACGTACATCCTTACGAAACAGTCTTTATGAAAGCGAATCGCGAGATCGACCCTGTACTGCTGGAGAGGCTTACCGAATGGCACTTGGCTGGCAACATGACAAGCTGGGAGATCTGTGGGCGGTGAGCCACGTGAGAGGAGAACGAGACCAGACCAAGGAACGGCACTGCGCCTCTGTAGTTGGAACAGACGTGGGCTGACAGACATGGCCTGAGAATGGGCCGTGTTTTTGACAGCAGTATGAAATGCACTGCTTCCTATATATCTTACCAGCGGTAAAGAGTCCGGAGATTCTCTACACCTCACTTGAACCGATACAGCAGGGCAAGCGCATCAGCCGCGCCAGGTCGCAGCTTAGAATGAGCCTCACTACCTAATTCGCTCTCAAAGGCTTCCGAGATCCAGTCAAGATAACTCAGCACCAGCGATCAATATTTGATTGAGTTATGGGGGAAGAATGCAAATTTTGCTGTTCGATCGCCGGGCTCTCTAGGATTTCGGGCTTTTTTCGAAGCAAAGTTCACACCGATGAAGTTCTACGGAAGCCAGTGGAAGCTGGGAAACAGGAATGAGCACAAGAATTCACAGTGCGGCACTTAACTGGTTTCGCTTCTATTCCGCATACGTCCGAGGACATACATGGTGCCTTCATACGGTGATATGAGAGTAAAGCTAAACACAGGCAAGCACGAATCTATCGCTAAACTGCGAGATTACTCGATAGATAGGCATAAAGATGTGTACCTAGGTACTAGTAGGGATAACGAGAAAGGTTGCTATTGTTTCAGAGATCAAAGATTCACTTCCGCAAAAATAGAGGGTACTTCCGAGCCCTAAATGACAACATCTTGTGTGATAACCTCCTGTAAGATAATTTGTTTGCTATTAACCTAAATATTTTGATTCCTAATTTGTCCTGATTTCTTTTTGTAGCTCTTATTAGCTACATCCAGTTATCCAGGTAGTATGGGTGTACCTTTTCCTTTTGTGGGTGTATTTCTCCAGTCTCTAGGGCTGTTTTGCATCTCTCAGTCTCGGAACACAACAACAAGCTTTTTGCCGTCGACACTTACCACATATTCAATACAGCTATAGCTTCTTAACTCCCTGGTCGGGATTTTTTTCTTGGGACATCTCTCGCGGCCCCAAAAGACTGCGGCCTTCATCTCCACGGCGGACAATGCTTGCCTGTTGTCTCGAGCAATACCCATACAGCCGATCACAAAGAAGCAAGGTGGTCATGGCAATGCAACCACCAATAATGAGATTCCGGCACCCTGGGCGGTCAATGAGGAACCAGGAGCACATACTTCCGAAGATTTAGACCGTACAGCAGGCCTGAGCAACGCCGACAGCGTTCTGAACCCCTGCCAGGATGAAGAAGTAGCTGCGAGCGCGCCAGCGAGGACAATGCCGAGCGTTGTGGTCCAAGGAATTTACACTTCTACATAGCACTTTTTCTCAGTGACCTCAGTCTTCCACACGGTCCGATACCCCTGGAATGCCAAATGAAGAGAGTATTGCAAGATGTTAACGCCTAAATGGACTCGAGTTCTCCAGCGGATCCAAGGACCATTTCATCAAACTAGGATTTAGATCATCGTATTCATTTTCCAAAAGCGTCTTGACTTGCTCACAGAACGGTTCTTGGGTAGCATGCGGCTAGTGCCCTTCCGAGTGTTGTTCAAGATCACACACAATCGGCCTAGGATTGTGTGTAGAGAGCTGCGAAAATGTCATTCGGCGTCTTGGGCGCTGCGCTTCATACAACATGTTTCTGCAGTAACAAGGGGCGTATTCCAGCTATAATGCACGGAGTATCTTAGCCACGTCTTTCAATTCTGGCCAACTCTTCCCATCTCAGCCTACTGGCCCCCCATGGCTCACATATCCACGTAATATTCTGCAAGTGCCCAAATATGTACAAATTTGGTATCATAAAGAAGGTAACACATAGACCCGCAGCCTGATAGTGCCTTTATTTCAGCCCAGCAGCCCCCAGCTGTCCAGTTCCTCAATAACCGTACGGCATCTAGGTGAAAGTTGTCGACTTGCTATGGCAGAGCCAAATACGCTTTGCATGTGTGGGGTTACAGGGGTGCGACAGGGATGTGCTGTAGAGGATCTAAGAGTACCCGTGGACGACAGAAACGCGGTCCAGCCAATTAAGTGGGACTTAACCTGGACACTGAACCAAATCGCGACACTTAGGCGAAGGTGATGCTAGGCCTGTCGTTGAAGCTACTGGAGCTTCGTATCTAGGTATATAACGTCAGAACAAGAGATTCAAAGCACATACGGCCATAGATAGTGGAAAATACGGGATCCCATCCCGTCCGCTCTCCCATAGTCAAGCCACTGATCGCTGGATTAGTAGTTGGGTCGGTGACGACCAGCGAATACCCGGTGCTGTATGTTTTTTTCTCCTTCCTTTTTTTGGCCCTCCCTGAACTTGAGTTTTCTGTTGCTTCGTTTTCCTCGAGGGCGGCAGACGACAACTATTGGCAACACAACCATAGGCTCGTGCCTGCGACGGAGTTTCTCGAGCTTGGTGCGCAGGTGGTATCGTCATCACAAAGGGGACTTGCAAGTGGCACCTCAATTGATGTTCCAATTGGAGTGCAGGCCCTCAAGAGCAACACAGTTAACGTCAGGGTGGTGACCGCAACGAACCTACGCGGCAGGTGGTCTGTAGCTTGTCGCCTCTCGCAGCCTCTCGTTACGGATTCTAAGGTAACGTGGTAGAGCACACGCGAATTGTTGAGTTGAGCGCTCCGGGGCTCTCAGATGCAAACGTGTCAAAACCGAGAGCCTGACAGAGGCCCGGGAGCGTGGAGCTTGAGAGCTCGAACACATGAGGTTGTTGCCTGTCGGCGAGGTGCCTCTCGGACCATCCCACTGACTGTGTGTACGACATCGGTTGAAGACGCGGCCAGCTTCATCCAGTGTGATAGGCACATGCTGGCTGTCGCGGTCTGCGCACCTTCTCGCTATGTGCAAGGGGAACGTGGTTTGGTTTGTTCGTTTGCGGACAAGAGCTTCTGAGCGCTGCCTGTGAACATGGTTCGTTGGTGTCATTGATTTTCGACACCAGTCTGTGCCTGGAGCTATGTCAGCCGTGGCCGTGAGCTGGGAGCTCCGAGCTATGGGCGCTCTGCCCAGGTCTGATTGATGCACAAGGTGTTCGTGCCTGTCAAGATGATCTATCTGCTTGTTCAGCCTGTTGGGGCCGTTGCTGGAAGCAGTGATCCCAACAGGACCTTCAGCGAGCGGGTTCCGGTACGCACGCGACGGATCTGGCTAGGCTCCCTGGAGATAGACGAAGGGCATCTACTACAGCGCCAGCTCGGCCGGCCTGGCCACTTTCGAGACATGGGGCGGCTGGATAGAACGTCTGCGCGAGGCGGGAGCGGCTCCGAGAGGTTCCGAAGTCGCCGCAGCGGGCTGTGTGAGCTTGGGTGCTAGGATGGTCGCGTGGTTGATAACTGCCGCCCAGGGTGCACCCAGGGCGGGAAAGGAACAAAGCCTGGTGATAGTCCAGTCTAAAGACTACCTAGGCAGGGGATCAAGCGCCAGTCGGTGCGAAATGTGCCTGTCGTATATAGACACGACAGTGTAGATGGAGCACTCATTCGAACAAGGTGACAAGATGTCAGGTAAGAGTAAGATGATTGATTGGTGATGCGTTGGAGCGTCCTTAGCTTTCGGATGTTGGCAGATTTGGCTAGGATGCCCCACGCCGAATAGTAGTAAACCTAACGAGGCGCCGCTGTCATCAAGGTGCGGTCGCCACTGACAATGGCAGTGCAGTTCTCCGGCAAATACCGTGCCAGGTACGGTAACCATCATCAGGCAGGGTGACCAAGTCCATCCACTTGCTGAAGATGGATGCGCGGCAATGGCTTGTAGGTTTGGACCCAGCTGTGACCTTGTGCTGAAGTCCCAGTGGACAGCAAGCGATGGCATTCCCGCATGAGATGGATGACACACAGGACAAGACCTGATGAGGTAAACATGAAAAAGGAATAGGTTATGGGAACATGGATGTCAAAGATCTGGGCCCCCGTCGTCGATCTGGATGGCCTGACGACGCTGTCATCGCGTGAGGAGTGCGGAGGGTGGAGTTGGGCCAAATGGCCAACCCCAGACCCCGCCAGATTCCCGCAGGTGTCAGATTGGAAAAATCCGGGGTAGGATGGAAGTCTAGATACTTAGCGATAGCCCTCGACAACCACCACGCGCAGGTGACTAACTGTCAGACTGTGTGGCATGTCAAACAATATGGGAACAATTTGTGACCCAGCATTTCAATGCCTGTAGTAGCCGCGACACGCTCGGTCAACTTCCGAAGGCGCATTTGGTGTGGCTGCGTGCTGCAACCCACCGAGCCGAGGGACACTTTGTGCCTGGGCACCGTGGCACCCTCCCCCTGGGCCAATTAAGCGTGTCGTCGTCGGGCGACCCCGGAAAATGCGAAAGCACAACGGAGCAAAGGAGGATGGTCTGCTCGATTACCCCGTTACCCCGTGCTGCTCCCGCCCCCAATTCCTGGGGTTCACGGGTCACCTTCTTTTGCGGAGATGTGGAGTAGGATTTATCTGGGGGAGGGGAGTGGAGGGGGCTCGCTCGCCTGGACAGGCAGACAGGCTGGGAAGACGGGCGAAGGGGGTCGAACCTGTCCAGGATTCCAAAGCTTGTCGGACATTGATGGTTGGAGTGCACGAATATATCTCGGATCCGCACGAGGCCCTACCCCTCTAGGCCCTCGAGCGCCGCGGCCAACTTGACAGATGGTCTGGGATAGACGTGGAGCGGGCCTGGCGGGAGGAGCGGACAACCTTGCGGCTCATCCCTCGCGTCTTGCTCGCTGCTTGCGCAATTCGTGATGCGACTTGATCTGGGCGGAAAGTGGAGCCGCTGGGCGGACAGGTAGGTAGATGAAAAGGCCGAAGGGCGCGAGACAGAGGCCAGGTTGAGCCTCTTGTCTGTGAAGCGACCTCTGTCGGCACGCGAGGGAACAGCATAGTCATTGCCTTAGTTGTCCTCGTGCATATGTATCGTGACCTGTAGACCTACTTGACCTCGTACCTGGCTTGGTAGTGCCACGGCAGGAGGGTGAGGAAACTCAAAACCACGACCCCCCCCCCCAAGAGTTTTTGTTTTTGGAAGCGCCTTGTCCCAAGTGGCTGGGACCTTGGCAAACCCACCAGCTCCCCCGGAGGCTCGGATTGTGGTGACACCAAACGAAACCACGCCAGCTGGGCGAGGGCGCATGACAGAGGGCATCAGAGGGCATCAATGATGAGATGGCAATTGTCAGGATGTCAGCGGTGAAGGTCTCCCTCATGTTAGGGGAATTTTTGGACAGGACGGAGTCCTGCCCACAAGGCATGCAACAGAGCGGGCGCGCGATGGGTCCGCTCGGTAGTGCCGGTGCCCATTGCCTGAATAGACAACACGCCTAACCTGGCCTTGCTGGCGTGCGGTCAACCCTGTTTCAGGCCTAGTGTGGGAAATGCGGCCGTCGACGATCGTGCGAAAAGATAGATCCAGGACAAGAGTCGTCGTGGCCCCGTCGTGGCCCGTCGTGGATAAGAATTGTTACGATTGCTGTGATTGGCACCGTGCCTGGGCCATCATTGATCAGCCATGCAATGCACGAGAGAGGCATCGAGGACCCGACACTTGCCGACTTGCATGGACCAGACGGCCGTTTCGGGGTTGGGGTGCAGCTTCGCTATTCAGGAATGCGACGAGATACCATTTTTGCTGGATTTTCAGATTGACCTCAACCATTGACTTCATTTTGATGACGATCCTTGGCCCCTCCCCCCTCGGTCCCGCGTCCTGGGGACCCCGTCGAGTCACCTAGGTGGTGTGGACATGTACCTGTACGGACTACCGTAGCCCACGCATTGTCCACGCTGCCTCTAGCTGTGAAGTTTGATGGGCCTCTGCGCTGCGCTGCCGCTGCCGCTGCCGCTGCCGCTGCCGTGTACTGTATGTATGTATGTGGTCAATGATGAAGTCAAGCACAACGTCACCTGCCGACATGCTAGGCTTGTCGGTCAGTCATGTCAGAGCTACGGTGTGGTGGCAGCAGACTCGCTCGGCCGCGCTGTGTCGTCGAACTGTTGGAGGGGCACAGCGAGCGCACGACGACGCACAGCCCGCCAGCAAAACACAATCACAAGCCAGACGCCATGCAGCTCTTATTTTTCTTCTTCTCTCGAGTCAAAGCCCAATCAGCCGTTTCTGTCAAGCCCCAGGAAAGCCCAGCCCAGCCCAGCTGACCTAGACACCTGGACCTGGGGGCGGATGGGCTAGGGGCTAGGGTCGACTCGAGTCAAGGCCCCTCCCCAGATGCTTTGAGACTAGGACAGGAGAGCATCATCATTCATGGGTCCAATTTCTCAGGGCGCAAGACAGCTGACGAGTCGAATACACAGTACATCGTGGTTCCCGACATCCTTAGCCCATCCCGATTCTTGGAAGAACCATTGGCCGGTCTAGAGTTCAGCATGTCAAGGACCGACGCACAGGGGTGGAGAACAACAGCAGCAGCAGCAGCAGCACGACTTTGCTCGATGCTTGTGAAGACGAGGACGTGATGATATACAGTACAGTATGTACGTACGTCGAGATGCATACTGTGCATGTCCACAGTTGGCATACATACCATGCCTAGCGTAGTCGCGGCCAGCAAAGCGGCAACGAGCCTTGTTGTTCGGTGAGCAATTTTTTTGTGGGCATTTTTGGGAAGGACTGGCCTCAAACATGTGGGCTCGTGGGCTCCCCACAACCCCATTGTCTTGGCCACGAAGAGGTCCCCACCCGCCAGCCCGCCAGCCCGCCAGCGCCGTGGTCGTGTGTGTCCTGTGTGTGAGTGTGTGTGTGTGTGTGTGGGCTCCGTCGCCCGTGGGGAAGAGGAGATGGGTCCGTCCAGAAGCCCGCTTCCCGCAGCCCACACCGGCTTCGTAGCAGCAACCAGATTTCCATGGAATGTGACCAGGTCGCCGTGCCGGAAACGAATAAGAACCCTGGGGGAGAGTCGCGGTAGATCCACGCGGCAAGACTCGCATCGCAAACCCTCGAATAACCAGCAGCCCTTCCCGCCTAGCCTGCCAGCCTGCCAGCCTGCCAGCCCAGTCCGTCGCCCTGCATGGAGATGATGGATGGGAGGATGGACGGACGGGAAGGATAGGGTCAAGTGAGCGTGCGCATGGCACCAAGGAGGCCAGCAAAGACAAGAGGCATTCGGGCACTCTCCGCGAAACGGACAGGCGGAGTTGCAACAGTACTGTGCTGAGCTGCGTCCACTAGGTAGTAGATCGGTACGTACACTTGCAGCGAGCTTAGACGTGCAGGGGTGGGACGATGTACCGATACTTTAGTTACGGGCCAAGTCCAGCGAGAGTTAGAAAGAACGATCCTGGGTTTGGGCTCGAAATTATAATAACAAGGGCCACTCCTCCCGCGCAACGTGCGCGTGAGTGCTTCAACCTCGTTTTCAATTGCTTCGCAGCCTGTTCTCTGGTTGTCCCCGTGGCCCGCCCCGCCGTCCCGCCATTGCTTATACCGTCGTCACCGGCCCCGAGGCTGAACAAAGGCGTTTCAATGCTTGCTAAGAGGGACTCTGGCATCAACCACACGACTCAACTCTCTCACCAGCACCGGTCCGTGCCGCCCACACGTTGAAAACCGAAAACAAGACCAAGAGAGGAAGCAGGACAAGGGCCGAAACCGTTCATTCACTACTTCGACCCCGGTTCTTCAGACCAGATTTACACCGTTACAGAGGCTACCAACCCCACGAACCGATGCACACCTCGTAGTGCAGCTGCCCTGCCCGACAACAACACCCCCAGTACAGAACAATGGCAACCAGCTCCGAGGCGGCCTCGACACCCGGGGACGGGATGGTAGACAACCCGACGCCGGGTGAGATCGAGTGCACCGCAAACACAGCAAGAAAGGCCTCCTCAACGGCCGGCGGCCAACCCAAGAACCGGAAGGGCTCAACGGCCGACCCCAACGACAAGACCGGCAAGGTCGCCAAACGGCGGGCACCGCGGGCATGTGCATCCTGCCGGGCTCGCAAGGTGCGATGCGACGTGGTCGAGAATTTCCCCTGCGGGAACTGCAAATGGGACAATGTCGAGTGCATTATCCAGGCGAGCCGGCGACGGAGGTGAGTGACAAACGCCCTTCTATTTTCCAGACTTCTCAGCCTCTCACATGCTGTGGCACCCAATTACACTGGGTGACAAGAATATGACAGCCCCCAGGGGTGCGTCATTTTCACATGTGAAACTGTGATCACATGGTCACGCCAGGGAAGGGTGAAGGGTGAGCAAGGAGAAGAAGGGGATTAAAAAAAAATTGTCTCAGGGTTGCATTTTTGACAGGTTAGGGACCGTGCTGACTGGAGTGTGCTCGCGCAGGAGAAAGGACCTCCCCACGGCAGCGAGCTCGGTAGGGGGTTCGGTGGGCGCCATGCCTGGGGCCGAGGCCCTGCACCTCCACACAGGGGGCGCAAACGGTGCTGGCCCGATCAACATCGCCAGTGCAGATCTCAGGAGGCCGAGTAATGTCTCTGCAGCCTCTATGCCTGGCCTCGAGAGCGTCGGGGGCATGTTTGGGAGTGTTGATGCTCAGGTCCCACTCATGTGTAAGTCCTTGTGTGCTTGTGGATTGGGTTGGGTGCGCGTGTGTTTTGCTCGCTCACTCTTCCGTCGCTCACTCTACTCTACCGTCGTTGTGGTACATCTGTACATCTGTCCTGTGGTGTACATCCCACCCTGCCCACGCTAACCTCGCCCTCAATTGACACCACCGCGCCTTTCCCCCAACTTGACCCCCACCCAAGCAAAAGCAACCTGCAAGGAGCCCCGTCCTACCCCGTCCGTCATCTTCACATGCAAATGCCAAGCGCACACATCCCCAGACCACAACACAATTTTCTGTCCACGAGACCCTGCCCGTGATCATAAGCTTACACGAAACAGTCCAAAGACCCGGTCTGGGCAACCCCAGCCAGGTCCCTTGGAACCCGGTGCAGCTCTTCTCCAACAGCTCGTTTGAAGAACCCAATGCAGACCTGGGACTGCTGCCGCCCTGGGTCAAACCACTGCCCGACAGGATTGGCCAGGATGAGATCGCCTACCTCCAGCGCAAGGGCGCCCTGACCATACCCGAGCCTGCCCTGCAGAATGCCCTCCTGCAGGCCTACGTCGAATATGTCCACCCTTACATGCCCCTCCTGGAGCTGTTCGACTTCTTGAATGTGATACACGCTGGTCACGGTCGGGATGGCCAGATCAGCCTGCTCCTCTACCAGGCTGTCCTGTTTGCGGGCTCGGCTTTCGTCAAGAGGAGCGTCCTGACCAAGGCTGGGTACCCGATCCGAAAGGCTGCTCGGAAGATGTTCTTCCAAAGGGCCAGGGTGAGTCTCCCCCGTTCCTCTCGTGCGACGATGTGTGGACCGAGCTCAGTGGTGCTGACTCCCGGTCCAGCTGCTCTACGACTTCGACTACGACTCCGACAGGCTGGTCCTCGTCCAGGCGCTTCTGCTGATGACATACTGGTACGAGACTCCCGATGACCAGAAGGACACTTGGCATTGGATGGGCGTTGCTATCTCGCTTGCCCACACCATCGGCCTTCACCGGAACCCGGACAACAACAACACCATGCCTCCTCGCAAGCAGCGGCTTTGGAAGAGGATGTGGTGGTCGTGTTTTATGCGCGACCGCCTCATCGCACTCGGCATGCGCCGGCCCACTCGCATAAAGGACGAGGACTTCGATGTGCCTATGCTACAGGAGGCTGACTTCGAGATCGATGTCCTGCCCGACGACAACAACCTCCTGCCGCCAGAGTGTACCGTTATTCGCAACATCGAGATGCAGAGAGAACTCGCCGAGATGTGCGTTCAGAAAGCTAAGCTCTGTGTGCTCATCAGTCAAATGCTTAAGGCACAGTACTCGGTTCTCATCCGGGATCGGCTCCAACCCGAGCGCACCAGCACCACCATGATGCTCTTCCCGAACAAGTCTCTTGACAACCTGGAGGCCGTTGAACATGTCGACAGAGAGATCGCTGCCTGGGCCACCGCGCTCCCGCCATCCTGCCAGTACAGGCCGCTCACGCAGTATGACATCCAAGACGGGCGGTCCACCATCGCAGTACAGCGCAATCTGTTGCATATGGTATACCAGACGACAACCTCGGCGCTTCACCGCCCACTTTTCCTGCCCACGTCGCCACTGCAACCACCGCAGGCGTCCAGAGCCGTGCAGGAAGCGTCGCGCGACAAGGTCAAGAACGCGGCCACCCAGATCACGCGCATGGCAGCTGAGATGTACTTTTACCGCCTCGCCAAATACCTCCCGACCACAGGAGTCACGGTCGTGCTGCCCGCTATGATAATACACCTGGTCGAATACAAGCATCCCGACTTTGAGCGACGCAAGGAGGCTCAGAGAGGCTTCCACCAGTGCATGCAAGTCATGGTAAAGCTGCGCGATATTTACGCGGCGGCGGACTTTGCGGCCGGCTTCCTGGAGTCGGCGCTCAAGAAGGCAGCCATACACGACCCGGACCGCATGAGGGGGGCGTCAGAAGTCGCCAGCACCGCCCCGGCGGCGAACACGCTGTCTGATATGAGAATTGCCACGCCCGCCTCGCCTTTCGCGCGTCCGGCCACGCCTCCGCCGGACCAGGTAGTACCGCCTGTCGTTACGGCTGCGGAGATGGAGGCTTCCAAGTACGCCTATCTTGCGGCGGCGGCGGCAGCATCGAACACGCTGCCGACCATCGACGGGCTGACGCACCAGTTGCCGCCGCAGTCGGTCGCCATGGGCGACTCGCCGCCGCACTCGGAGCGTGACATCGGGCTGACGCCTTCCGCAAGCGGGTCCTCGGAGCACGCACTTGCGGACGTGGAGATGACCGATATCAACGGGATGGACTGGACGAACCTTGGCGACACCGGGGCCGGCATGAGCAACCTCAATCTGGATTTTGACCAGTGGCTGCATTTCCCTGGCGAGGGCATGAACAACGCGGACAACTTCAATATGGGGCTGTTTGATGCCAATACGGCGTATGAGAGTCTCGGGGATACATACCCGCAGACCTGAAGGGGGCCGGCCTATCGGTTCGTTGGCGACAATGACACCCAGCCAAATCGGCCAACTGCCGCCCCGGACCGCCCACGCAGCAAGTCCTCACGAGACTGCACTTTCAGCTCGTCGCTTGTGATGATGACTTGCTGTGTGCGCGGCCCACGGCATTCACCGTTTCGCGAGAGCGGGATGCGATATAGGTCAGACAGACCAGGCCAGTCTTTAGGACAGACCGCGCGCGAAGCCGGGTCAATTCTTGACGTGGAAAGACACACGCTCCTGAACCAATGCCAGTCTCTTCAACAGAGATGGGTGATATGCTCCACAACGCCGTTGAGACTAATGTCCTCGGGCTGGAAGGCGCGCATGATAGTATGAGAGAAGTTATACGTTGTCAATATGAGACCATTGGTCTCAGGAGTATCATCATCAGCATGGCTGCTATACGGCAGGGGCCACATTATACTGCGGGACTATTATAGACGAGGGCACCACAGGGATACAGCCTGGGGGAGGGGACAAACACCCAGCAAAGACAGCTTGTGCGCGAGCGCAGCCAGCAGACATTGGAAGGGTTTATGATTGACTTGGGTCAGCGGAGAAACAAAACAGAGATACCTTTGACCATACCAGATCACATGCGTCATTCTAGACCAGTGCCTTTTGCGTCTGACTTGATTGCAGCAGTGGTTCAACGAGACTGTTGGATCGGCCAGGAACGGGTGCAGCGAAGTGTTCCGAAACGGCCTCCCATGAGAGTGGCCATGAAAGTGGGTCTCGATCCGATCGGCAAAGCCACGCCCATGACATTGCCCTGTGGGGTGCTTTGGGGGGTCCTGATGTGGTGGTTCGCTTGATAATCAGTCGACGATCCGGGCTGCGTGGGTGAATGTGCCGGCGGAGGGCTGGCTCCCCTGCCCACCCGCTGTCACTCGCCTGCTCGCGTGCCCGTGTGCTCGTGTTCCCGCGTGGTCTTGTTGCTAATTGCGTCCCGGAGAGCGTGTTTTGGAACAAGTGGGTTTCCCTATTGTTGCCCTCTTGCCCATGCAGCCATGACAGCGCTCGACGGTGGAGGCCCACCCGACCGCCTCCCCAATTTACTGTACATCTGATCTCGTGCCGGCCGCCTCCCCCACTGCTTCAGGTACGGTGCCTGACGGGCCAGCAGGGCGTGGCGAGCCCAAGGTACCCGCGGGTCCGTATCCACTCCCGTGGTGCATTTTACCTTTACCAGCCTTCTCAGTCGACCGGAGCGGCGTGTGCACGGGCCACGCTGCATTATATCACAGTGTGTCTTGCCGTGTCTTGCATGAACAAGGTGCCGACCGAGCCTCCGAGCCACCATACTACTCCGTACTTACCATGCAGCGTCACGGTGGCCATGACACCAGCCTCCGCCCCGTCCATGCGCGCCGTCATGACGAGGGGGGAGGGAGGGCCAGATGTTGGTGTGGATTTCACAATTACTTGTGCCCATAGTATCTGGTCGGCCACCTCGGCAAGGCACACTTATTTTTAATGACGACTACCATTTCAGGGTCCATCAAATCTCCCACTGTGGCCCGCTTCATTCAATAAACCGTACTGAGGCTGGCCACCAGGCGCTGGGTGGAGCCGCGTCCAGGACGCGAGGTTGCATAGGTGACACGTGCCATCCCTGTCCGACGCCCTGCCCCTGCTCCTTGAGCTTACCCGTTCCAGAGTGCCACCCCGTCGCGACTTCTGGGCCTGACCTTCCCTGTCCTGCCCCGTCCTGCACTGTCCTGCCCTGCCATCTTTACCACCCTCTCAGCCCTCTCTGGAGCTTTGTTACCCCCATAGGAGTAGACTCTACGAATATAGAAGTACTAGAAAGTATACCTATAGAATTCGGGCTCGGAATTTAGCAGCTATACCTACTTTCGTAGCTATTAGGGTCCCCAGCCCTATATTATATTAAATATATAAAGTTTAATTAGCGCTATAAATTACTATAATTAGATATATACTTTCTATTATATTTATATTTAAATAGTGTTAAACTTTAAGTAAAAATAATATTATATATTAAAAAAAATAGTTAAAAATTATATTTACTATTATAATAATAATAATAATATTAAGTACTTTATAAATAATATATTTATTAAATATATTATTTATTTAATATTTTTAGTATATATTTTTTATTATATAAAACCTTTTATATATTAAGATATTTATTTAATTATAAATATTAAATAAAAATAATAGTTTATTTAATATTTAGCTTTAAAATATTATTATATTTAAAATAATAAAGTATAAATTAAAAGAAATATATAATAAAATTAGTTTATAAAGGTAATTTTAATATATATTTCTCTTTTCTTTAAGTATTATAGTTGTTATATATTAATATAATAGGTATTAAATTATAATTTTATAATCTTATTTTTAACTATTTAATTTTAAAATAGTTTATAAATTTTAAAAATATATAAATATTATTTAATAATATTTAATAAATTAAATAATAATTTATATAAGTTTAATAATAATATAATTAATAAATTTTAGTTAAGTTAAAGGATTCCTATAAATAAAGCTTAGAACCTTATTTTATATTTAATAGTAATAAGCTTAATAATAATAATTTAATAGCTTTAAATTATTAGTAACTATTTTCTATATATATAGGAATATATAATTAGTAATAATTATTTATTATAAACTTATTAGATATATAATATTAATTTAATAGTTATATAATTATAGTTTAATTTATAGTTATAATTTAAACTAAATATAATAATTTTATTTTTATATTAATATTAAGGCTTTTATTTATTAATTAAAATAATATTAAATTATTATTTTAATTATATATTAAATTTATTATTATTTTTAAAGAGCTTATATATAGGTACTAATATTCCTATAAAAATATAGCTTATTTAAATATTCTTTTAAATATATATAATAGTTTTTAATAATTTACTAATAATATAGTATTTATATAAATTAACCTATTAATTTACTTTTATAGGCTATATTTATTTAAATTATATTATATTATCTTTTAATAGAAGAAAGCCTTAATTTAAATAAGTAGAAATAGTTTTTATATTATATTTAAAAAAGTAATATAATTCTTATTATAAAAACTAGGTTTAAAAGAGTATTATTTTCTAGTTATTTATAACTATAATAGGTAAAATTACTCTTTAAATTATACCCTTAATAGCTTTAATTAAGACTTATTATAAATAAGTTTATACTTTTTAAGGGGTAATATTAGTTCTATTTAATAAAAACTTTTATACCTAAAACCTTAAAATATTTAAATAAGTTAAAAATAGTAAGTTTACTTATATTTTAACTAGCTTAAAGATTACTATTAGAAACTATATAAAAAAGATTTTTAAGGATAGCTTAAATAGCTAACTAGGCTATATAGTAATTAATAAACTTTATATAATATATTAATAAAAGTCTTTTATAAAAATTTATAATATTAAACTATTTACAACCCTTATTATATAGTAATATACTATTTTTAAGTATATAATAACTTTCTTTAAAAATATTAAGAAATTTATCCTTTAATATAATAGCTTTTAAAGGGTTAATAATAGTAATAATTATTATATAAAGTTTATTTAAATTTTATTAATTAATTTAAAATTAAGTTATATATATAACTACTTATTAATAAATATATATTAAACTTTTATTAACTTAAATTTCTATTAAAAACTATTAATTATAATAACTTTAAATATTTTATTATAAAGACTATTATTTATATAAATAATATTAATATATTAAGTAAAATAAAACTATACTATAAATATACCTATAGCTATAAGGCTATAATATATAAATAATAGCTAAGGTTATTAGTATATATTATAGTAATATAAATAAGATTAATAAAATAATATTAATAAAAGTTTTTAAAGCTTAACTTAATTATTTAATTAATTTTAACTATTATAATATTAAAAATAAAATTAATATTTTTAATATAAAAATAATTATATAATAAAAGTTTTATTATTTAAAAACTTTATAAATTAATTTTAATAAAAGGTAAATTATTAAAAATAATAAACTTAATTATACTATATAATTTATATTTTAATATTTATTTAAAAACTTTATTAAAATAGTATTAAATATAATTTTAAAGGTAAAGCTAAATTTAAATAATAATATAAACAAACTAAAATATTAAAAAAATATTTATTTTATTAATAAATATTAAAAAGAAATTAAAGTTATAACTAATAACTTATAAGTTCTTTTACTTAAAAGGATATATTCTTTAACTTAATAACTTTTAATAATTTAACTTATAACTAAAGGTTAGCTATAGCTATTAAAAACTTAATAATTATAAATAATAATATATATAATATAATATTTAAAAGTTAAATATAGCTATATTTTTACCTAAGTTTTATATTAAAGATACTATTTAAAATATTTTAAGAACATAGTTTATAATATTTACTAATATATAAATATAATTTAAAAAAAAGTATATTAATACCTTTTATATACTTAACCCTATACTTAATTTTATTAATTTTAATTATTTATATAAATAAAAGCTATTATTTATATAAAAATATAAAATAATAAATATTAAACTATAAATTTAGATATTATAACTACTATATACCAAGTATTTTAAAGCTAATAAATAACCTATTAAAAAGTAATAATTAAAAGCTTTATATTATAATAATAGTTAAAAATAATTAAAATAAATTAATAATTAATATTAAAAAAGGTAAATATTTAGCTTTTACCCTATAAATATATATATATTCTACTAGGCGCCTAATATATATCTAATAGTATATACTTTAATATTATTAAAGTTATTAAAATTAAGTATTAGGTTAAATATAATAAACCCTTATTTTAAATAGTTAACTAATTAATATAGGCTATATTAAATTTAAAACCTTAAGAATTTAAATACTATAGTTTATAGTTCTTTATTAATAAGTATATTAATTAATTACTAATTATTAAATAAATATATAATAAAGAGCTTAATATTTATAAATAATATAAAAGGTATTTTAAAGGAAGGTTAAAAAATAGGTTAGGGACGCTAAAATAAAGGTATTAGTTTAGCTTAATATTTTAATACTATATATAAGCTTTAAATAATCTAGGGCTATAATTAACCTATTTTTAAATAAAAACTTAAAATTATAACTATTATACTTTTATAATTATTATATTTTATAAACTAATATAAAATACTTACCTTAATTTATATAATATAATAAATTAAAAGTTTATTATATAAACTATATTAATATACTACTATATCTAGTAATAGTATTATAGTATATAATAAATTAAAATAAAATAATATATATTTATATTCTATTACTAATTTTATATAATAAAAATAGCTACTTTAACTATTATTTAAATTATTATTTCTATATAATAATATTATAGTAATATTAGTTAGATATTAATAATAATATAAAATATTATAGCTAGTTTACTATTAGATATTAAATATAAATTAGTTAAATAGTATATATAGTATTTTTATAGTAAATATATAGGTCTACTTATATTAAGAAATTATACCTAGCCTAAGTCCTAATATAGTAGTTTAAAGGTGTAGTTTAAT